AATTTAATTGATAATACAGTGTTGTAAATACCTTGAATCAGTTAAATGTTCAAATATTGTTCGCAGCTGCAAATATTCTAAATATAGACTGTGCCTCGGACTACATGACCAATACCGCTGTTTGTAATTTCAGCGGTCACAGGTTACCCTCTCGCTTGAACCGCTGTGGTCTGATTCCCAGGTTAAAACTTGCAACTACACTGTAAAGCAGACATATTCACAGGTGATGGTTGAGGATAGTATAAATGAACCCATGAATTATGGGCGATGAATCCTCATGAAACAGCTCTTACAACAACCACCAAAGGCCTGAAAGCATACTTAATATATTTCTTATGATTAACAAAATTAACCCATAGCAACTATCAAACAACAGGATTGACACAGAACCTCCATTTGTCCGAGTGTAGTTTCTGCCATTTGTCCGAACTCTTGACCTGTTGTACTTTCATGAAAGTGAAAGACGTTATTCAAAATATTGTTTTAATGTACATTCTCTTAAGTGCAATTGCCAAAATAGTTGGATCCAAATATTCGCTGTGAGTAGAAAACATGAAAGATGGAATAAAATTTTCAGAATTTTTTTTTAAATGGATCTAAAACAATTGCAACACACAATAGGCGAAATAAGTCTGACATGGTCACTCAAAGTGAGGATCACATCAATATCTCTGGAAATGTAACGTGGCATGTCATAAAAGTTAACAAAAACCAGTTGATGACTAATTCTCACCTGAATGTTGGGGGCATGGCAAACTCACTCTGGTAACAAGAGATATTAAAAAAGCTTACTCTCTGCATATCATTTAATCAACATATTTTTTTATTCTTCCAATAAAACCATGCAAAAGATGAGGGTTAATTACAAAAACATAAAAACATATCATCATGTATACCAGTACATTAACGTCTTAAAGGTTCAGGATAAAAGACACACAACACCCAACCTGGTTCCTGTTTGAACATAATAACATTTACAACATACAGCTCAGTTTTTATCAAGAGTGAGTGGGTGAATATGGTTTTACGCCGCTTTTAGCAATATTCCAGCAGTATCACGGCGAGGGACACCAGAAATGGGCTTCACACATTGTACCCATGTCGGGAATTGAACCCGGGTCTTCGGCGTGACGAGCGAACGCTTTAACCACTAGGCTACCCAACCGCCCCTTTTTTATCAAGAAACCAGATTGATAACCTGTTTAAAAATGGCACATAGTGTGCTGAAGAGTAATCATGGTTATGAGTAGTTGTACAATGAACACTCTTCTACCGTCATCAGATACAACATCAAAGCATAGGACTTACCTGCTTACAACACTGATGACAGTGATAATCGACAGATGGTATCTGAATCCTTGAGGCATGAATACAAGTTTTTGTCTAAATGTCACATGAAATTTCCAGTATGAACATGTAAAAAGTAGGATAAAGGACATTTGAAACAATGGTTACTATGTAGCAGCATTAATCTACTTATAAATTCAACAATAAAACGCAATTCTTACAATATGGGGCTACAGATCGACCCATTAAAAATATCTGCCAATGTGAGCTGTAGGATTTGCAGAGTACCCGGTATGTAGAACTACTTATCTGATTTGCTAAAAATCAGGATTTTTTAAAAACCTATAAATAACAATCTTTTCTAAATCAATACTATGTTTTATTTCATTGAAAGTGAAATTTAAAAGAATTGCAGTTTTGTGTGGTTACCACCTTGTTGTCCAAAACCTCTTAACTCCTCATCCAAAGATTACTTCCAAAAAGTATATGTATTCGGAGGACAGAGATTAAGGAACACACTGGGACATAGTTTCTAAAGTTTAGTAACTTCCAAACAGATGAATAGTCAGTGTTTTTGACTGAGTCATCACAAGACCTGATTTGTTTACCATCTCTATAGGCAGTTTGACATTACATCTACAGTCGTGCCTCGTTTATACGGACACTTGCGTCATTTCACAATTCGTCCGTATAAACAAATTTCCGTATAACTGAAACCAGCTTCTTACTTGAAGAGTTACTTCCCTTCAATTATGCAACTCATGACAGATGACAGAGCAAACAGATACATCCACTCAATCTTTATTCAAGACATACACGTTTCAAAAATTCTGTCATGGAAGTTTGAACTTTACCACATTTTGAGGTTTGAATTTTAAACAATAATTCCAAATTGTCCACATCGCCTGTGTTCTCGTTATATGTAATCAAGGTCTCTATACAAGCACAAGCTTCCTTGTGAGTGACTGTAGTGGGTTGGAGGGGCTGCTCGTCTTGGTCATCGTCTGGGATTACATGTACAATAAACAAGCGAAAGCGAGTCATATACCAGAACTATTCACAAGTTTAGTAGTTCGTTTAGTATTTATAAGCTTCTCTCAGTGATCTATCATCTCTACACACAACGTTGTTGAATAGGCCCAGAGATGTTGAGAGTTTTCAATTTTTGTTCTTGAAACTTGTTCCCCCAGTACATAAGAACACGCTTTGGTATTACACGATGTGTAATACAGCTGTATGTTTATTAAACAAGGGATCTCTTCATGGGCAAAAAATAAATGGAACATATCAAAACCTTAAAATCAAAATCATATCACTGATTTCATGAGTTAAAGCATCTTCCTGAGGCAAGAGTGTCCACTAGGCCACATTAAAGCCTGGACTAAGATATAGGCTAGTGGACACTCTCACCTCGGGAAGATGGGGTTATGGTAAATGTAATGTAACCAAAAATCAAAGCTGTGGTACCTACCGGTAATCAACAAACAAATTATTTGTCAAAAGCACAAACATTCAACAACCATGGCATCAAATGGCTTGCTTATTCCCTTTGCCTGTTTCCATAATGTAAATATCTGAAATAATATAGATGAATTGTGCTTGCTTGATACAATTTTTATTTCGAATATATTGTTACGATATGAACACACTCAGCTTATAATCTCCGTATATTTTTATATAATATGGTGATTGTAGCAAGTTGATAAAACGGCAAAATAAATATGCAATTATGACTGTGTCTTCATTCTTGACAACCTTGTGAAGTGCTATAATAATTAAAGGAAAAACACTGTTCACCCAAACTTATGAAACACCATAATTTCATGTGATTCAAAGACACTCTCTAGCAGCTACTGAAATCATGAGTGGATGACGTGATCAATCGAAGACTGCAGCATTAATAATGCATGTAGGCACAAGGGGAAGCAACTTTGGTTGGAGCTGAATTTATGAGTGTGTGTGTGTGTGTGTGTGTGTGTGTGTGTGTCAAACACTCTGAGGCGATGTAGTGCAGTAAGGGTTTGTATACATTCATAACCCCGGGCAGCACAGTGTATGTCCTCAATAATATCGGTCACACTCACAGATACATGAAGGTCAATGGTGCAAAAATATACACGTTTGTTGTTTAATATACCACTTTGAAATGTCACACACCTATATGAGAGACGCCTGTTAAAAACTGAATGTAATCACACACCCAGTGATTGAAATAATGAGCATCGATCCATGCTATCAGAGTACGATCAATTTATTTCAACCAAGTTACTGAGGTTGAACACTCGATCTCCTAAGTCACCCCTTACAGCAAGTACCGGTATAGGTTTCTGGGGACCGGACCACGACACATATAGGTTATCGTGGACCGGACCACGCTATACATTATATCACCCCTTACAGCAAGTACCGGTAGAGGTTTCTGGGGACCGGACCACGACACATATAGGTTATCGTGGACCGGACCACGCTATACATTATATCATCCCTTACGGCAAGTACAGGTTTCTGGGGACCGGATCACGACACATATAGGTTATCGTGGACCGGACCACGCTATACATTATATCATCCCTTACGGCAAGTACAGGTTTCTGGGGACTATTTTAAAACAGGTTCCAAAGGGGTTTACATGCATTGCAGAATGCCAAAATGTACACTGACTAACCTAAAGGGGATGAATACATTATGGCCACTTTAGTTAAATAATTTCCTATTAATCACATACTTCCTCTAACTATTTCCTCCACTGAATCCTGACACAATCTAATTAATTTCATATAAGAAGACGCCCACATGAGTCGTGATCTTTCAAAATGCTATGTTGAGAGGAAGTGTTAGTTACAAAAACAACATTTTTATATTGTTTTCTGACACATAAAAAACATGTCGGTATTGGTAAAGTGTGTTGTAAATTTCTGCTTTCAATGCGACAAAATTGCTCTACATGTGGACAATTGCTTTACATGTGGACAATTGTTTTACATGTGGACAATTGTTTTACATGTGGACAACTGCTTACATATGGGCAATTGCTATATGTGTGGACAAATGCTTTACATGTAGACATTTGCTTTACATGTGGACAATTGTTTTACATGTGGACAACTGCTTACATATGGGCAATTGCTATATGTGTGGACAACTGCTTTACATGTAGACATTTGCTTTACATGTGGACAATTGTTTTACATGTGGACAACTGCTTACATATGGACAATTGTTTTATATGTGGACAACTGCTTACATATGGGCAATTGCCTTACATGATGACAATTGCTTCACATGTGGACAATTGTTTAACATGTTGACAAGTGCTCTACATATGGACAATTGCTTACATATAGACAATTGCTATATGTGTGGACAAATGCTTTACATGTAGACATTTGCTTTACATGTGGACAATTGTTTTACATGTGGACAACTGCTTACATATGGACAATTGTTTTACATGTGGACAATTGCTTACATATAGACAATTGCTATATGTGTGGACAATTGCTTTACATGTAGACATTTGCTTTACCTGTGGACAATTGCTTTACATGTGGACAATTGCTATACATGTGGACAATTGCTATACATGTGGACAATTGCTTTATATGCAGACATTTGCTTTACATGTGGACAAATGCTTTACATGTGGACAAATGCTTTACATGTGGACAATTGCTTTATATGTAGACATTTGCTTTACATGCAGACAATTGCTATACATGTGGACAATTGCTTTACGTGTTGACAATTGCTATACATGTGGACAATTGCTTTATATGTGGACAATTGCTTTACATGTGGACAATTGCTTTACATGTAGACAATTGCTATACATGTGGACAATTGCTTTATATGCAGACATTTGCTTTACCTGTGGACAATTGCTATGCATGTGGACAATTGCTATGCTTACATATGGACAATTGCTTTACATGTTGACAATTACTATACATGTGGACAATTGCTTTACATGTGGACAATTGCTATACATGTGGAGAATTGCTTTACCTGTGGAGAATTGCTATGCATGTGGACATTTGCTATGTGTGTAGAATTGTTATGCACAATAGTCAAATGCTACACATATGAACATCTGAAACACCCATGGAATGAGTATGGTTTTATGCCGCTTTTGGCAACATTAACCACTAGGCTACCCCACCGCCCCGAAACACAGAAAATTTATATACCTTTGGACAATTAATACACACATGAACAGCAGCCATGCAATAACTACAGACAATTGATACACATATATATTTGGCATACTTCATTGCACATATGGACAATTGCTGCATACATAATCAGCTGGTTTTAATTACTGCAGACACAGCAGTTTCCTGTAACAATATCACATGGCTTATCGTGTAGCTCGAACACTTCCTGTCAGCACTCTCCAGGTTACAAGACAGTGCCTGTAGGCGTGTTACTCTGGCACAGCAAGCAATAGGACAACACATCATGAGCTCTTGTAGCTACGTATTGGAAGGAACTACAAATATTCTGTTCACATGAACACGAAGAAATAACTTCTTACGAGCAGGAGGGACTGACCAATTGATATTTGGTTAGATGGGGCTAGGATCTAAAAAATATATAATAATTTGAAAGAAAGTACTTGAGAAAAATCATATGGCTTCAGGTTTATTGGATGCCCTGAAATAAAATATAATCTCTTTTGTATGTCTTGATGCAGTGATTTAAAAAATATTTTTACTCTAACAAAAAACATCTCTTCCCCCATACCACAAATTAACTAGTCAGTCTCCAACTGATGAAGAGATAGTATGACTGAACAACTTCCTTTGTACAATGGTAGAGATGGATCTCTACTGGAACACATTTGTTAGTTAGTAGATGATCCCCCATACTATCTTGTCATCAGCTACATATCCAACGATTAAATGCCACTCAGAAATCCCAAATAGTAGATATCACAAATATCAGACAGGTCAGAAACTAGAAACTAGCTCTTCTAAAAATAACAACGATGGATTTTCAAACATGCATCTCACTTTGTCATGATCGATGATAATTCATTTTAGCTACCTCCTCATAAAACTGTACATGGATAATTGAGGCAGTAACACACAGAATAAACAATAATTCTGACTGAGAAATCCTACTCCACAGCATAAAATCATGTTAATAAATTCATATTTCATTTGAAAATGACATCTATATTGAGTGTGAAATAATTTTCACTCAAGATGCATTATTTCATAAATTCCTTGTGTTTTCAAAGAATCTATAACTAATTATGACTCAATCATAACCTTCTCATCAAAGTCACAATTCAAGTAACTCCAATATATTTTGAAGCATAATACACTCTGTTATATTACTGCATTCCAAAACAGGACAAAATCAATATTAAATTATTGATCTTTACAAACAGGTCATGTTAGTGTGAACTGGACCACAGGGTAGGATATATTTTACATACTTTCACTCAAAATATTCGAATCATTTTTAATGAGTCATACTTCAAGCTAATGATTTAATATCAGTCAGAGACTAATGTAAAGTCAATTGCTTCATTATTTCATAACATGTTTCAATCAACAGAATTATTGTTTGTGAGCAATACATGACTCTCAATTGTGTTTCTGACTCTCAAACAATATGCAGTGAGTAATCATGACTCCCATTCTTCAGATGAAATCCTTGTTTAGGCCAGTGTAGTTTAGTGAATAATGGATCATACCAGTGCATTTTAGTTTTGCCTTGATACCAGTGTATTTTCATGTCACATGATCATACCAGTGTATTTTAGTGTAAACTGGATCATGCCAGCCTTTTTAGCGTAAACTGGATCCTGCCAGTGTATGCTAGTGTGCAGAATGTGCATCACATGCTGCCTTCTGTCAGCTGTCTTCCAAGAGCAGGTCATGGTGGATATGTTTCAGCTTGTGAGTGAGTGGATGGGTGGGTGGGTTTGAGTGAGTGAGTGAGTGAGTGAGTGAGTGAGTGAGTGAGTGAGTGAGTGAGTGAGTGAGTGAGTGAGTGAGTGAGTGAGTGAGTGAGTGAGCTCAGTGGAGCTCAGAAGGACTTCACTCCTGTCATCTTGCGAACCTGCTCATAACTCAGCCAGAACACCAAGGACCAGGGAGCCTGTAATCAAAATATCTCTAGTAGCATCACCTCCTATTGAGTGAGTGAGCATTATTTACGCCACTTCAGTAATATTCCAGTAATATCAAGCCAGGGTACTCCAAAAATGGGCTTCACACTCTCCACCGACGTGGGAACTCGAACTGTGGTCTTTGGCATGACGAGTCAACACTTTAACAACTAGGCTTCCCCCAGTCCTTCCTCACATTGAGACTAAAGCATATCATTTACCTGTGATACATAAAACATATACACAAAGGATACTTTTGTCTATTTCTATTGACATGATCTATATATATATATACCAAACACCGAATTATTGCACAAGTTTGATCCAATATGGTTAAAATTGAAAGGAAGTATATTAGTTCAGCCAATCTGGTGATAGTTTATTTAACACAAATGTTGGATTAGTGAGTTGGGTTAATGCTCCTACAAAAGACAGTATAAGTGGGAGGAAAGCCCAAAGTGACAAAGGTCTAAGACGTTTTCCACTTTGGTGAAACCACCGAGCACAGATTTGGTGCTGACAAACCAAGCATGAATTTGGGTTTCAAACACATAATCAGCACATTCTGGCAAGAACAATGGATGCAACTCTGCACATCAAATGGCTGTTCCTTAGACTGAATGTGGCCTCCTGAGACAAAGTCCAGATGCACTGAGGCTGGTAATGGTAGCGACAGTCTCTTTTACATGACCCATTACAACAAAGGGATGATGGATTCTATAGATAAGAAGCAGCACATAGGGTGCTGGCCAAATGGCACAATGTACACCCTAATGCAGCCATCCATGCTGAGAGATAGTGCCCAAATAGTCGCAACCAACATACATAGTCCCAGGTAGCTCCGCACACCATCACCAGCAACTGCAGATGTGCCTGAGCATCACTCCCACAGGATTGTAGAGGCAGGACATTGTTCGACGGGACACTCAGTAGGTTTGCTAAAACCCAAGTTCCAGGCTTCTTCTGTATCATGAGCAACAAACCAGTAGATGTCAGATGGAGCCATTTCTCTCTTCTCAGTTACTCTATCAGCAGACTGGGCAGAAGATGTCTGGCAGAAATGGGGAGTAAGCTTCAAACAAAGGAAGCACCATGTGGCAATATCTGCACTGAGAGTGTAGGCCTTGAGATCTTTACCATTTGACAATATCTGTGGCCTTCTGTAGGTGATCTTTTGGCTTCCTGATGTTGGTCATAACTATCCATGGATTCCAATTTGAATGTAATCACCAGAACATACATGTTGAGCTGTGGGAAAGTTGCCTCCAGCCTAGTTATGTTTACAAGACCAGAAAGAGCCAAGAACAGAATCCTTGGATTGAAAAGGTCACTGCCTCTGCCACTCCTTTCTTGAGAAACTCCACAAGGGGTGGAGAAGACCAATCCATCATTCAATGGTACCAACGAGCACCAAAACGAAGAAATGGTAACCCATGAAACTGAATGAAAGGACCTAAAGCACTAAGGATTATACTTTTACGTAAGTTTTTTGGGGTATAGGGATGAACAATTCATAAACTCTACATTTTACTATGTACATATATTTACTAGTATTTCACATACAGTTATCTTAAGGATATCAACATGTCTACACTTACCATTCTTGCCCAAATAGGCAGCAGTCCTTTATATAAAGCAAAGAATCCTTCCTGAGATACAGTCTTTATTACACAGTCAACTGACCCTTTGTACACCAGACCTCTGAAACAATGAAAAAGTCAACTGACCCTTCGTACACCAGACCTCTGAAACAATGATACAGTCAACTGACACTTCGTACACCAGACCTCTGAAACAATAAAACAGTCAACTGACACTTTGTACCTCTGAAACAATAACACAGTCAACTGATACTTTGTACACCAGACCTCCGAAACAATAAAACAGTCAACTGACCTTTCGTACACCAGACCTCTGATACAATGAAACAGTCAACTGACCCTTCGTATACCAGACCTCTGAAACAATAAAAGTCAACTGATACCAGACCTCCGAAACAATGAAACAGTCAACTTACATTTTGTACACCAGACCTCTGAAACAATGAAACAATGAAACAGTCAACTGACATTTTGTACACCAGACCTCTGAAACAATGAAACAGTCAACTGACATTTTGTACACCAGACCTCTGAAACAATGAAACAGTCAACTGACCCTTTGTACACCAGACCTCCGAAACAATGATACAGTCAACTGACCCTTTGTACACCAGACCTCTGAAACAATAAAACAGTCAACTGACACTTTGTACCCAGACCTCTGAAACAATGAGACAGTCAACTGACACTTCGTACACCAGACCACTGAAACAATGAAACAGTCAACTGACCCTTTGTACACCAGACCTCTGAAACAATGATACAGTCAACTGACCCTTTGTACACCAGACCTCCGAAACAATGATACAGTCAACTGACCCTTTGTACACCAGACCTCTGAAACAATAAAACAGTCAACTGACCCTTTGTACCCAGACCTCTGAAACAATGAGACAGTCAACTGACACTTCGTACACCAGACCTCTGAAACAATGAAACAGTCAACTGACCCTTTGTACACCAGACCTCTGAAACAATGATACAGTCAACTGACCCTTTGTACACCAGACCTCTGAAACAATGAGACAGTCAACAGACCCTTCGTACACCAGACCTCTTAAACAATAAAACAGTCAAATGACCCTTTGTACACCAGACCTCTGAAACAATGAGACAGTCAACTGACATTTTGTACACCAGACCTCTGAAATAATGAAACAGTCAAGTGACCCTTTGTACACCAGACCTCTGAAACAGTGAGACAGTCAACTGACATTTTGTACACCAGACCTCTGAAACAATGAAACAGTCAACTGACCCTTTGTACACCAGACCTCTGAAACAATGAGACAGTCAACAGACCCTTCGTACACCAGACCTCTTAAACAATAAAACAGTCAAATGACCCTTTGTACACCAGACCTCTGAAACAATGAGACAGTCAACTGACATTTTGTACACCAGACCTCTGAAATAATGAAACAGTCAAGTGACCCTTTGTACACCAGACCTCTGAAACAGTGAGACAGTCAACTGACATTTTGTACACCAGACCTCTGAAACAATGAAACAGTCAACTGACCCTTTGTACACCAGACCTCTGAAACAATGAAACAGTCAACTAACACTTCAGTCCTCTGAAACAATGAGACAGTCAACTGACCCTTTGTACACTAGACCTCTGAAACAATGATACAGTCAACTGACCCTTTGTACACCAGACCTCTGAAACAATGAGACAGTCAACTGATCCTTTTTACACCAGACCTCTGAAACAATGAGACAGTCAACTGACCCTTTGTACACCAGACCTCTGAAACAATAAAACAGTCAACTGACACTTCCTACCTCTGAAACAATGAAACAGTCAACTGACACTTCGTACCTCTGAAACAATAAAACAGTCAACTGACACTTCGTACCTCTGAAACAATGAGACAGTCAACTGACACTTCGTACCTCTGAAACAATAAAACAGTCAACTGACACTTCGTACCTCTGAAACAATAAAACAGTCAACTGACACTTCGTACCTCTGAAACAATGAGACAGTCAACTGACCCTTTGTAAACCAGATCTTAGAAACAATAATTTTCAATGTATTTTCTATTTTTTTAACATTTTGCAACACATTTTTGGTAATGACCTCTGGGTGGATACCGGTATTCATCTGATGTGCTCAAAATTAAAACCATATTTCCTTGTAAAGAAGGAGCTAATATGAACATCTACTAAACATTTGAAAGCATGATGCATGATTTGAAGGTTTTGAGTTTGGCACAGTCAATTGAACTGCAGCTGTGGCCAATTTAAATTGAAAGACACACAATGTTGTTGTTTTCTCAGAAAGGGGGCATCAAACATTTTGTTCATTCTGGACATCCAGCATGCTCAACAAACAGTTTATTGTTTTCATGACAACCTGAGACAAAATGGCTCTGTCCCCCTACCCCAGAATATGGTTGGTCCCTCAGCAGACCAGCTACAGACTTACCTGCCATTCTCTGTGGGCTGGTTCATAACTCGTGACTTCACAACATCAGCTGGCGTACCCACCAGTGCTGCTACAACCCCCGAACATGCACTGTGTACGAAGAAGCAACATCCCATGTACTAAATCATAACTAGTTCTGATTGACCCAAATAGTATAACTGTCACAAGTATGGAGTAACAACACAATTGCCTTTGGATAGTAACAGAAAGTTTATTCCAAAATACATTTACAAGCTGCCCCAATAGGATAATTACTCCTCATATTGACCCTCAACTAAGTAAACAAATGGCAACTTTTCTAAAATAAATTTCATGAATAATACAAACATTTTGTTTTTGAAAGGTAAGAATGCATTTATTCTTTTCTATTTTCCTTTATTTTATCCATGAAGGTGTATGGTTATATAAACAGGGATAAAACTGAAATTTCAAGTATTCTTTCATGTTTTTCTTCATGATCTTTCTTTAAAACACTTAAACTTTTCAGCATAGTTACACGCGGATTAATTTGTATCTATTTATCCAAGTTACATTTACACAGGTATAAGTTTTGTTGTCTTTTTAGCTTTAGTGTAGCTAGCTAACTGACAGTCTAGCTACCTTGCTAGCGTATGCGTCATATAGTTGTCCTCAAGGCTTGTGTGAGCAAGGATCTTGTGTTTGGCAGTGTCGTATGTTGCAAGATCTGAGATCAAAATCACATTGATACATATCACACATGGTAACCTGAAAATATCAAACAACTAAAACGAACGGTGTATTTGACTTAAAACTGTGACCCTGCTGATTTTGGTGTCATCTTATCCCAGAAGCATGAATCAATGTGAGTGATATCAATCACTGGTTTGTCTGATCCAAGCCTGATCACTTACAAGTATATATTCTCCTTGATGATAAAAATGGAACAGAACAAAATCAGCATGGTGTTTTGTTTCAAATTTCAAATTGGACTGTACACTCGAATTGCAAGATCCATACTTCTATTTATATACATATATAATATATAGGACGGTGGTGTTTATTCAATCACTTTTCTACAAAATGGTCATAATCTCTCAAATAAAACTGAGAATAATATATTTCATTCATAAGGTTTGCAAGTGTAGTGAACTGAAATTCATATCTATTTACTTACAACTGACAAATAGCATTGTAATGATTCATCACAAGTTGACCTTATGATATGATTCAAGCGTTGTATTATGAGTTTAAGTATTGATGTGAGGTGAAATGGGTATTAACATTTCATTCCAGGTAATTCCACTTATGTAGTGATGTCCACACACTTGTGTGTGGCTGCATGTACTAGGTCTAGGTCATGAGATACCATGCCACAGATTAACATGGATTCTACACTCAGGCACTCCGACTTAGAGCCATCCAGTCCTTGTTTTATGCCCTTAATGACGAGAGCCAAGGAAACAACAAGTACCATTTTTAAAGGACTTTTGGTCCCTCCACTATCCAGACAGATGGTTTATCAACAAGACCACAGAGGCGGTCGTATTGACTTCTAGGGGATTAATGATTGAATACATGTTGCCGAATGCAGTAGTCAACAATATTCCAGCTGTATCACAGCAGCCTGTAAATAATCGAGACTGGGCCACAAGAAACAGTGATTGAAGGTATAATCCATTCTTACTGTCAACATGCATATCACACATGGAGAAAATATGTTGTAAAAGCCCTGTTGACAATGAAGTGGTTTTATGATAGTGAAGTTCAATATCTAGCGTGCAACTGACCTCCCATGTTGACAAGTGCTGCCCTCTGTACATTGGGTATCCAGCCCCGCCACAGTCCTCGAACTCCGCTCTCCTTCAAGATCTGACGAAATGCCTGACCTGCATTTTTCACTCTGCCAAAGGTAAAAGGACAAAGTTAGAAGGAAGTTTTTAAAGTGTAACTGGAGGACGAAATACTGCAACATAATATCTTTTCAGTAACTTTCTGTCAATACTTATTCAACTTCCCTTTGCCCTTCCCAAAATCTATTCCATCTTGAATTATTATCCGATGTTTGACCTTCGCCACACAAACCAGCGATAGCCTCCAAGTCCGGCTGTCAAGTGGCCTCTCAATTAGTTCCTGATTGTAGTTTCATGAAAGTGTTCATTAGATAGAACGGAAATATTTTTCCTCCACACACAGAGATAAACATATTGTGTTTTCAAAACAGAGCTAGTCTACCTGTTAATTAACCAGAAACCAGTTGAACAAACGAACATAAGATAAAAACAAGTTTAATTCTAAATTCATGTCAGTCATCCTCACACATTCAACACATTGATATTATCAGTCAGCTCCATATACCATCCATATGATATTATCAGTCAGCTCCATATACCATCCATATGATGTAATCAGTCAACTCCATATACCATCCATATGATATTATCAGTCAACTCCATATACCATCAATATGATATTATGAGCCAACTCCATATACCATCCATGATATTATGAGCCAACTCCAAATACCATCCATGATATTATGAGCCAACTCCATATACCATCCATATGATATTATCAGTCAACTCCATATACCATCCATATGATATTATGAGCCAACTCCATATACCATCCATATGATATTATCAGCCAACTCCATAAACCATCTATATGATATTATCAGCCAACTCCATATACCATCCATATGATATTAGCAGTCAACTCCATATACCATCCATGATATTATGAGCCAACTCCAAATACCATCCATGATATTATGAGCCAACTCCATATACCATCCATATGATATTATCAGTCAACTCCATATACCATCCATATGATATTATGAGCCAACTCCATATACCATCCATATGATATTATCAGCCAACTCCATAAACCATCTATATGATATTATCAGCCAACTCCATATACCATCCATATGATATTAGCAGTCAACTCCATATACCATCCATATGATATTATCAGTCAACTCCATATACCATCCATATGTTATCAGCTACCAGCACATTGAGATCACCAGTCACCATCTACCTGGATTGTTTGCCTACCTAACTGGATTGCTTGCCTGAATACCTGATTGTTTGCCTACCTACCTGGATTGCTTGCCTGAATACCTGATTGTTTGCCTACCTACCTGGATTGCTTGCCTGAATACCTGATTGTTTGCCTACCTACCTGGATTGCTTGCCTGAATACCTGATTGTTTGCCTACCTACCTGGATTGCTTGCCTGAATACCTGATTGTTTGCCTACCTACCTGGATTGCTTGCCTGAATACCTGATTGTTTGCCTACCTACCTGGATTGTTTGCCCACTTACCTGGATTGTTTGCCCACTCACCTGGACTGTTTGCCCACTCACCTGGACTGTTTGCCCACCTACCTGGATTGTTTGCCCACCTACCTGAATTGTTTGCCCACCTACCTGCACTGTCTACCTGGTACCTGGGTTATTTGCCCACTCACCTCGGCGGCTTGCCTTCCAATTTGCGTTTGCCCTCCATCTGCATCTGTACCTTGATTAGATCAGTTGGACTGGCCACAAACTGACCTGCAGCACCAGCGATCACCCCAGCCAGCGATGCTTTCCTGAAGCCAAGGGTTAACAGTTGATGGGTAGTTAATGTAATACAGCTAAATACTGCCTCTAATGTTTACGCAGACAACGAGAGTCACTGAGTGAGTTAATATTGTTTCACACAACAAAGGTCAAACTTCCACCTGAGGGACTGACCATTGATGTTCTGGAGGGGGTGGGACGATGGGGGCACCTGGTATTTTGTATATAGACTAGACATTTTTTTCAGTTACAGCTGCAAAAGAAGCGGTTTTTTTAAATTAATAGTATGAGCCTTAATATTCATAATACAAAAAACTTTGCAAAACATGTAATTTCTTTGGCAGACATTCTTTTCTTTTTTAACAGTCTGAATCTTTTCAAGCTTTTTCTGGGTCAATTTTTTTTAAAAACATCCCACTAATCTGTATGTGATTTTGAAACATATAACAGTAAAGAGGTTTGGGAGAATCTGCAAACCCAACAGGCATTTCACAGTGACATAAAGAGGGAAGTGCATGTTAATGAATGAGGGAGAGTGTTGAAAACTGAATTAGAAACATCTACAAACTATTGAAAGTACAAATGAAACATTTCTCATCTACACATATTCCAAGGTACTGCTTTATAAATATCTCCAAAGGCAACTTACATACTTTTTATATAAAGATTAGTAATTATGTATACATGATACAGTCTGAGTAAGCAAGGATTTGGTTGGTTGGTTTGTTGTTTAACGCCGCACTCAGCAATATTCTAGCTACCGGTATATGATGGCGGTCTATAAATAATCCAGACAATCCAGTGATTAATATCATGCACATCTATCCACGTAATTAGGATCGATGCGAGCATCAACCAAGTCAGCGAGCCTGACCACCCAATCCCTTTTGTCGCCTTTTACGACAAGCATAATCGCCTTTTACGACAAGCATGGGTTGCTGAAGACCTATTCTACCCAAAACTTAACACATTTATTGTCCTGTTGTGCCATCAGGCTTCCTACCAAAAATTACAATGCCACAGTGCCATAAGGGTTTCTACCGAAAACTTACCACACTGACAAAGTGCCATCAGGGTTTTTACCAAAAACTTTGTCTCGGAGGATTTCATAGAATGTCATTCTGCATCCCGTATACACTGTAATCAAACATAGGGTACATGCTTCTACTCCCAAGACTAGGAACTCAAAGTACAACAGTCAGCCCTTTCACAATCATATTAGAATCAACACAAACTGGACCAAATGATCATCAATCATGGGACACAACCTTATTTTCCAATCCCAAGTTTCAAAAACACGACAATCAGCATGAGTGAGTGAGTTTGGTTTTACTCCGCTTTTAGCAATATTCCAGCAATATCACAGCGGGCGACACCAGAAATGGGCTTCACACATTGTACCCATGTCGGGATTCGAACTCGGCATGGTGATAAGAATATTAAATTCATTACACATTGAATTGGATGAATATTTACCAGGACAACCTGATTTAGTGACTGACTGACTGACTGATGTTGCATTCAGCTGGCCAGGTGGTTCAGATGCCATGCAAATATGACATCAACCATTAGCATTAGGCTGTCATAATACGTCTATCTCACAGGTGTTTCAGTGCACTTTGACAAAGTTTTTTTACCGAACCAAATGAGACCGATAACTTTCTGTATTCACAATGTCAAGAAACATTACATGTGCCATTGAGTATCTGTTGCTATAAAATTGTAACATTTGAAATCGTCTTTAATAACCACAACAACACCAGCAAATCCAACCTGATAGACACATACCTATATGTCTGTAGAGAGCAGGGGTAACACCTTGCCACAGTTTACGGACACCTTCTTCTTTCACTGGCAAACAAAACAAAACCAACTTCAAATGTCTGGTGCAAGTGCAATGAGCATGATGAATGTGCAAACTGAAGCCTCAGATGCAGATATGTGACAAAAAAATAATTCTCAAGACTGAATTCAGAAAACATAAAACACCAACGCCAGACAAGTCTCATTTATCTGCCAAAACAGATATTCCAATGGGCGTAAAGCGCAAAATAGCAGCAAAATTTATGTTTGAATCACTGAAAATCAGTGGTGACATCAAGTGTTCTCAAAAATGTTTAATGTCAAATTGCAAAAGTGACAGTTGTATATAAAGGCTCTTGTAAGTTTAAAGCTGCAAGTTACAATGGACCTAGGGCACATGGCCTTTCCTTGAGCTGAAGATTCATACAGTATGTGTCTGCCCCCAAAATCATCATTGATGAAGGCATCCTAATTGCTTACCAATACCAGCAGCTGTTGCCAACATGCCCCGATGGGCCGGAGGTCGACCTTGGTCAGTTTGGAAAGCCATCTCCCCCTGGATCTGGAGTCGGGTCTTGGTCAGGTCGAGTGGGTAGGTCACTGAAAACATGCAGGGTGAGTGAATTGAGTCTAATTCCGATGATGTTGGAATACTTTCTCTTTTGGACCCTTTGTTGGCCCTCGTTGTTATGATGCTGTTGCTAAGGAAGTAAAGGCCTGATTGGATAAAAATCATGATTGCTGCATTTGGGTGAGAACCTTGAATGTTCGACCTTTTTACTCTCCACTTATACTCCGTTCACATGCACAACATTTACTCACGTAAATAATTTTGCACATGTGTAACTGAACATATGTGTGTATATGTAAATTTACTATGCGTTTACATGACAATAGGTGTGTAAATAAGGTATGTAAATGGTGTGAGGAACACATATTCATCAGTCTGTTCACGACGTTCAACATGAAAAGCTTGTTTTCCAATCAAAGTCGATTGGAAAGAGAGTTACTTTACAGAAATCTTCACATGAAGCAATGTGTGCAAAATTTTGACTCCTTGAAATCCAAGGAAAACACTATCTGCCCAGCTCTGGATGCCTGTATGATAGTTGGTATGGCTCTATACTGAATAGCGTCAGAATACAGAACTGTTGCCAATTTGTTTGGTGTTGGCTAATCAACACATACATTTATTAGATCACCCTCTGACGTTGGCATGACAACTTGTACATACAGAGCACATTTGCATTTCCATTTGCACCAGCTCCAGACATGATGCAAATCTGCTCAAGTGTAAATATACACATGAGTAAACACGTTCACGTAACAAGTGTACTCACGTGTGTATATTTACACACATATGCAAATATACACACATGTATAGAGGTGCATATGAACGCGGTATATTAGTAGTCCTGCAGTTAGACCATTCCTAGTGTTTCAGATAAGACATTATCCTGTTAATGCATAGCATGCTGTTTGTAACATATACTATACTATAGATTACTTCAGTGATGAAAAATAAACAGTTATGTTTCACATGTCCATAAAATCACATAATGTATAACTCAAGCTATTAATGGGTCTCAGTGTGTTCCTAGTAAACATTTCTTTAATGTGAATTTCAGCTCACCATTATTGTTTTAAACATTGTTTTAAGTGCACAAGGAAACTCCAATGAACTATGGCTAAAGGAGTGTGTTACAGTACTTTGGACAGTGAGTGAGTGAGTTTTAACAGTATTCCAGTTATATCGCGGCGTGTCAGCTTAATGTGGAAGGAAAGCCTGAAGTGATGCAGGTCTCAGACGTTTACCACTTCGGTGAAACCCACGAGCCTGAGTATGGTGCTGACAAACCTAGAAACAGAATCGGGGCAAAATTTGAACCCACAATCATAGGTTTCTGGCGTGCCCAAGGGACGCAACTCTGCACAGCGAATCGTGGCGCCTTAGACGACTGGGACACCCGTGCCCCCACTTTGGACATTGCTTGGCCAGGGCTTCAGATGATTGTATGAGTCATTTGAGTGCTTACTTGCATGTTATCATTCACATAGTTGATAGTTTTCTTTGAGTATTCAATATATAGTTAATCACTAGGGTCCAATGGGGAGATCTTTGTAAGAAATTCTACTTAAAATTCAATTTCAGGTGACTTAATCTGTATCTGTTCATCATGTGCTGCCCCAAATCAGTAACATGTAATGTATGCATAAGCGATATTCATGACAGTCACAATAAGCAGGATGCAGTGCCATTTAGCAACATCCACCATGGTGTTGTTATGCTTTTATTATTTTCATATTTTTCATTCATATTTGTATGTGAACAAACAGTCTGGCAAGCTGACATGATGTTCAGTCAGGCAAGTAAAACATGAATAACATTATCAATTTGGTAGAATGGTAATTCAAAATTGCAATTAAAAGAGCATTATCTTTTTTAATAATCTACTAATTTTTAAAACAAATTAGACGCAGTCACTGAACATCATCATTTGAGGTTTAACACTGTTACCATGGTTACTACCATCGTTGTAATACATATTGATAATTATTATCATGCTAATCATTCATGTGTTCCTTTTTTCAATTTATTAAATACAATTGTTTCAGACCTTCACCTGTCACTTACCATCACCTTGCTACTATACTCAGCTGCATGCACATAATTAACAAAGCTGCAGAGCTCCAGATAAGCTGCGTATCTGCGTAAAATACGCATCAGAAATGCAGAAATATGCAGTAAAATAATATCCACGCGTATCAAATACGCAACAAACATTACAGATACGCTACAAAAATAAAACTTGTGTGTATCATCAAAATATTGTGAAGTAACCCTGCGTATTCGATTGGCAAATCAGCAACTTATTTTGAAATTATAAACGGGCATTCCATCAACCTTGCCAAACTCTACAATTACGGTTACATCATGATCATTTGCCATCACACTTTCTTGTGGAAGTATTGTGGTATTTTGGAGTCCTATAAAGCTCTCGAACCCACACAACACAAGTTTGCAGGGACCAGATGAATAGTGTTTTAAAATATTTGAGTTAAATATCCACATGTGTAAAAACTAGTGGGTAGCAGAAATTTGAATACCCAGATAGAATCACTGAAACCCAGTGATTTTAAAATGCATGGGTAAAATACCCACAACACCAAAAGCTTATCTGGAGCTCTGACGCTGTATGTCAACAAACCCACCAGGAAGGAACAATCAGCTGATCCCAAAGCTTCTGAAGGCCATTAAGTGGATTATTATTATAACTCAGAACAGACATGGTCATCCCTGATCTAACGCTGCATCAGGAAACATATATTTCAGGACAATACATGCACATGTATATATATCATGGCAACAGAGCATGGATGCATGGCAACATCATTATTCCTATTGCTAAATCTGACACCGATGTTCACAATCCTCTGTCAGACAGGGTTATCTCTCTTATTTCTGTACCCTGTAATATTTATTGTGACATTTTAAATGCGAGATTGGATGAGTGTTGCGAAAGAAATAATATTTTAGCTGAGGAGGAAAACGGCTTCAGAAAAAAGGAGCTGTTTGGATCACCTCTACAGCATTTGTACAATAATCAAAACTCAAAAACAATAAAAATTGTCAACTTTTTGCTGTTTTATTGACATGAAAAAGGCGTTCGATAACGTAAACAAAGATTGTTTATGGTTTGAAATATTTAAAAAATGGCATAATTGGAATAATGTTTGAAGCTGTTAAAAGTTTATACAGCAATGTGAAGTGCGCTGTGAGAGTAAATGGTTTGCTTTCACCCTGGTTTAAGGCCCCACAGGGACTAAAGCAAGGATGCCTTGTCTCTCCATTATTGTTCTCTATTTACATCAACGACCTGGTGGCCAAAATAAAAAGCATAAATTGTGGTATTATGTTATCATGGTTATATGCTGATGATATTTTATTATTGGCGCCCACAGAGGATAAACGTAATCAGCTTGCTGACGGGGTTAACCTCTTTGGTCATGTGGACAAGGCGTCCGACCTCGGATCAGAAGGTCCGTGGTTCGAATCCCATCACGGGACTCGGACATTTTATGGCCGCTACATTGGTGCCCAGCATGGGGCTGAGCACGTTCATATCAAATTTGAACAAAATAAGCCTCAGTACCCTATTATGCAGCCCTGGACGTGCCTTCTGTTGACGAGGGAGTATGTAGCAGGACGTGGAGTCATCCCTCAGATGACTTCCTTACCTTGTCAGCTTGGACGGGGTTAACCTCTTTGGTCATGTGGACAAGGCGTCCAACCTCGGATCAGAAGGTCCCTGGTTCGAATCCCATAATAGGACTCGGAAATTTTATGGCCGCTACAAACGCAATGTGTGAATGTATGCCAGATTTCTTAAACTTATCTTCAACAGAGAAATTTATTACATTACTCAGATGTGAACAGGGTTATTAAGTAAACATTTGTAAACTAACTGATCAAATGTTCCAAAGGCACTGTGTGTGTAAGGGGGGGGATGTGGGGGTATGGTGTGTGTGTGTGTGTTCGTGCGTAAGTGTGCCTCTGTGTGTCTAATTGTTTGTATATGATTGCGTGCGTGCATGACTGCATAAGTAATTTGGTGTGTGTGTGTGCGGGCGCCTGCATGTGTGTATATTCAATGAATCCATAACTTAATCTTAACTTTAAACATTGTGTTGGTGTATGTCTTAATCTATCTTATCCGGATCATGACATTATGCATATGATTTCATGTCTAGTGTCTCGTAGCCCATACCTTGTCAGATGTTATATTTTATTGTTTGTGTACGTGTTTTAGTATGAAGTGTATATAACATGTGACACTATAATAAACATTATTCTCTCTCTCTCAGATTGGACTGGCTTGGTCAGCGCACCTAGTGAAAGGGAGACAAGTTAACTAGATCGCCCCTTGACAAGCTGCCCTCAGGTCACCCACCTTTAGACCATAATTCAAGTCAAACATGGATTAAGTAGACATGTTAATTAGTTAACAAGCAGCATGCTGGATCCACTGGCTGAACTGCATGCACCACTGCCAATCTCATTAAAATCAGTTCTAAGTTCTTGCTGCTGCTGTACAAAGATCTGAGGACATCCCATTACGGGTCATGTCAGAACGACCTTTCGCGAACTTTGACCGACCACTGAAATGACTAACAAGAAGTTGACATCAGCTAATTAGAAAGCAGCTTTCTTGAGTTTTACGGCACTTGTTTCAACCTGGCGACTTCCATTTCAGACTACGTTTGAAAAATATGTTGGACACAGTTCTCAATTAAAATTTTGAAAACTGAACAAACGAACATTCCGGAATGTCTAATATATGGCTGAGATCGTATGGCAGTGCTTCCCAAATATTGTGCAACTACGCCTACTCTGTTCAAATGTTTATCCCACGGAAGCAAGACATAGACGATAATTTTGACGGAATCAGTCATACGGACTGTAACTGTCTTTCGAATACACCATGTTAATGTTTTTGAGTTGCATGATTAGAAAACATATTCCGACAGCGACGCTTTGATTGGTCTGATGAAAGGTCGTTCTGACGTGAACCGTAAAGGGATGTTCACAGATCTTTGTTTAGCGATAGCGAGAACTAAGATCTGATTTTAATGAGATTGGCACCTCAGCTTGCATTACACGGTACTGAGTGAAAACGTTCAAAAGTTCAATCAACAAGTGAGTGAACATATTAATCATTTAGTCCAATTTGGGCTACAAAAGGGATTACAGACAAGAAAAAGTATTCCACCATGGAAAATGTGCAGGTTGATTTACAGTTTATTCTGAATTCTGAGACGGATCAGCACTTGGTTTTTGACGGAAACAAGTAAGACCAGAGCCAAACTTCCATTCAACCAAACACAAAAGATGACTTTGTCATGAACCACAATTATATGTCTCTGAGCAGTGGGATCCCGCCACAAATCATCTCGAGGGGTGCATCCAAATATGTTAAAATTCATTGAGATACTGCAGGTTGAGCAAGATAATACAACGACCACAATCCACATGATCCAGGTAGTTTGATGCCACCCAAGAAGAAGAAGAAGAAGAAGAAGTACTGAAACCAGCGGCCTCACAAGCAGGGAGTCACTGTTAATGGTACCCAAACAGAATGTTAGTCGTATAAGCTTCTAACAGACATAAATTGTCATTTTAATTTTTACACAATGTCAAGATCAAAGGTCGTTTCACACACTCAGCAATGTATGCAATGTTATTTTTGTAGGATTAACAGAAACAGCAACACTCTCAAATTGTCCGTTTCCCTTTGTGTCAGTACAGCTGCCAAGCATTACAAGTCAGCCAATAAAAACATTTGTCACGCATCATTGTGCCCTTGCGCCAGTAACTTTAGGCCACGTCCATGAATAGTTTTGTTTGGGAAATCTGATTACAGAGCATGTGATTTCAACACTTTTACTTGGACATATTTTTCTCTCTTGGCAATTGACTTAACTCTGTGACAACTGATATTCGCAACCGAATCACAATCAATTTTTTTCATGTTACTTGCCCTTAAAGGATGTCAGCTAGTATGGCTTTGTTCACCGCACTACTCTAGCTGTTAGGAATCAGGAGTGTATCAAGACATCGTTTAAGTCTATCTATCGCTAAGACCATGTAATCAAATACGCAAGAACATTACAGATACGCTACAAAAATAAAACTTGTGTGTATCATCAAAATATTGTGAAGTAACCCTGCGTATTCGATTGGCAAATCAGCAACTTATTTTGAAATTATAAACAGGCATTCAGTCAACCTTGCCAAACTCAACAATGACAGTTACATTATGATCATTTGCCATCACACTTTCTTGTGGAAGTATCGTGGTATTTTGGAGTCCTATAAAGCTCTCGAACCCACACAACACCAGTTCGCAGGGACTAGATGAATAGTGTTTTTAAATATTTAACTTAAATACCCACATGTGTAAAACTAGTGGGTAACAGAAATTTGAATACCCAGATAGAATTACTGATACCCAGTGATTTTAAAATGCATGGGTAACACCAAAAGCTTATCTGGAGCTCAGATTAAATATAATATATTTGAAAAATACCTATATTTATAGAAAAAGTTAAATACTCAGCACACAGATCAGCAGATATTTAAAGGAAAATGACAAAATTATTAAAACAAAAAAATTCTGAATGCGAAATTGCATCACAAGATTCATATTTCTATTGATTTGACAATGACAAACAAATAATTGCATACCCTCTGATGTGTTTTCAACACTCATGACAGGGAACAAGACGTATCACTATCATGTGTGTGAAGGTTAATGCCTCATGCAGCAATAATGCTGCTTCATGACGAAGGTCGGCAAATAATCCAGTCTGAACCAAACAATCCAGTGATAGACATCATGAGCATTGTTCCATGCACAGGGGCCAAGATGACATGAAATCAACCAGGTTACCAAGCCTGATCACCCGATTCATTTAGTCGCACCTTAAGACAAGCATATAGGTTTCTGGAGGATTAATGTTCTTATCCCATAAATTGTGGTTCCCTGGCAATGCTTGGTCTAATCCACGACCTAAACTCTTCAGTCCCTCTTTTAAAAAACTGCAGCTAATTGTGATAATATATCGACACAGAAATTTACTGCAGGCCATAAGGAACCATACAAATTTAAAACTATGCGCCAGACACAAGATCTACCTGCCACGGGCCTAAGGGCAAGCGCTTATTTCGAACACTGGTCATATACATGTCTTATTTATAGTAGTGGGTTCGAATCCCAGTTTGCCCCATTTATATTATGTTTCTAAGTTTGTCAGCACCATAACTGTGCTCATGGGTTTCACAAAAGTCGTAAAGTCTGAGACCTGCATCACTTCGGGCTTTCCTCCAACATTACTGGTATACTGTTAAAAGCGTTGTCAAACCCAATTAACTCACTCACATTTTTAGCCTATAATCCTTGAACAAAATTCAATTTAAATGCTAATAAAATGAATACAAAAAAAACTCAATAAATCTACCTGACATGAGAATGCAAACGAAAACTACGGTAAATACTGTGAGACAATATATATATATATATATAATAAAATAATAAAGTCCACGTTAGTCCATCATCTTCTTTATATCAGTTTCATACATAGTACTTTCGCTGTCTCATGACAGCTCTTCAGTGTAACTGACAATGACACTGAAGAGCTGTCATGAGACAGCGAAAGTACTATGTATGAAACTGATATAAAGAAGATGATGGACTAACGTGGACTTTATTATTTTATTATATATTACATGTACACCGAGTGAACATTTACCTCATTTTTGTATATATATATTCTGTACAATCCCTAATGTCCAAATGTTGCACGAACCGTGCAGAGTCTTTCTGAAGCAAACTAGTTCAGAAATTTGTACTTTTATACGTGACATTGGTCACCTCCTACAGTCTTACCCGACTCTGCGACAACTGCAGCAACAGCAGAGAGGCTGTACTTGAAGACAAATGTCTCTCGGGGTCGACTGTTTCCGACTGTCTTGGAGCTCTTCATGATTTTTAATGGATGTTTACACTTCAGATATTGTCAACCAAAACACGTGTCTGGTGCATTATGGGAAATTTACCAACCCGGCAACTTTGCTATTTTTAGAAACAGGTGCCCGTCTGCTTCTAAACTAGTTCTTCTGTTATAATACGCAACCGCAAGAGAACCTTTCACCATCTTTTATTCGAAGACAAAACACAGTCAAATATGTACCTTGGACTTTCCCAAACTGCAACAATTTATGAAAACCTAACTAGTGTGCCAATACTTCATTTGTTTACGTAAAATTTGAAAGAAGAAACTGTAAGTCGTATTTCAGTTTGTATTATCTTTGTGACGTTTCTTTTCTGTGGGGAAACTAGGGTACGCAACTCTTGTCACAACAAACAAGATGGAGGCGTCTGCAGCCTACGAGTTCAAAGCAACTCAACCCGACGAACTTTCGTTTCCAAAGGAAGCCACATTGAAGGTATTTAAACAATATTGTACACACAACCATGGTGACAAGTAGTAACCCATGTGTATGAACTTTTAAGTTGACATATTTATTCTAGTTGACAGAATTGGTTCATGTAATTCACTTCCTCCTTCCTGGATGTGAACTGTCAGCTATTACAATACATATCGTAGTATGATACGTCAATTTGAAGTATGAATCATAGCTTCACTGGACGACATCCCATATTCGGACTCTAAAAATCATATACGGCAAATTTCAGGAGGGAGATATTGCTTAAGTTTAGTGACAATAGTGTACAGTGAGTGTTGTAGAATAGCTTGCATGCCGGCTGCCTAACCAGCTATCTGTCAAATGTCAATTATCGATGAAATCTTGATAGAACCAACAAAAGTTTTGAGAAAATGATTGTTTATTGGGTTCTGTAGAATCACAGTAATGAAAATGACTATTTACTTAGACATTTTGTGCCCAAACCCTTTAAGACTACTTGCCCAAACATGGCCGTTATTATCATTTTCAGTCGATTTTAGTGTTGTTATATGGACTAATATTTTCTGAGCTTACTACCTTCTGACTGGTGGCAGACTGCTTTAGTTCTTAATACAAGCACACCCTTTACCTTCATTAGAAACATTTGTAGACTGAACAGAGATTTATCTAGGATTTCAAACTAAATGCTCCTGGCAGACAAATTCGGGAAAAAAATAGTTATTTTGTTCAAAATTGGGATGTTATTGGTCCTGTTATCAGCGATATACAGGAAATCTCTACAAAGCCATAAAATTAGTTGTTACTTTTAATAGATCTATATATAGAATTATTAATTCGAATTTGTTTAATTCCATTGTAGGAATTTTTTAATGACTATTGCAGTAGGCTTGTGGTCAAATATTGGCATTTGAGCAGGTCTTATTAAGTCCCTGATGTATGAAATAAATGAACGAAAGTGAACACACTATACTTCATGAACATGATAAAAGGAAGTGGAGAGTGTGTGTGTCAGTTTCATTGTGTCAGCAGTAGGAAATGTATCTTATCTCGCTTATGCATACAATGAATGAAAGTGTGTGGATGAGCGGATATTGCTTTAAGTTTGGAAACTGTTCAGTACCAAGTATGGGAGAAAAGATCATAACTTATTTAGGTTCACGCTGACGCAGCATTATAAATTAGTTTTCTTCTCATCATGCTCATTATGGTCCCAAACAAATTCTGTGATTCCACAGTTATGGAAATATTTGCAGAAAAACTTCCTGCAGAATTGTAGAAAAATCATGGAATTTGCCTTTTTATCTGTACATGGTACACTAATTTTTTTCATTATTTTCAAGCTTTTAAAACATACAAAATATGAATCCTACAATAAAACAAAATTTGAAACAAGTAATTCTCACTTTTAATCGTTCTTGTGGTATTACGTCTACAGGGCTAGAAACTAACAGTTTTCGTCCACTAGTCCTTATAATGATAACATATAGCAAAACCCTTAAAAAGGGCAAATTTCTACTAGTCCTTATGATACCTTTACCATTGGGCAGTTTGGCAAGGACTTCAGGACTAGTGCCATTTTCTAACGCTGGTCTACATAAACTATGGTTACATCTAACTTTAAATGTGATTAAAATTTTAAAGAACAAAAATGAGTTTGTATATATTTTTGAGGGGGAAATGGTTATGTTGTTACTGCAGAACTTACTGCAGGATGTTGTAATTTGATCCACAGAATTTTGATTATTTTACCACAGAATTTGTCTGCGGCTATCATTAACATGATTATCTTGAAGTATTTAAATGACTATGTCATGTAAGTACTGTCAAGTGAAACAATAGGTTATGTTAAAATCAGAGTATTACTGACATGAGCTTATATCACAGGAACTGAAATTAACACAAGCCCTCTAGTCCAACTCCAAGCAGGGGCCCCATACTACAAAGTGATCTTAGGCCTCAGACATTTGTAATTCAATGTTAAAGTATGGGAGTTACGAAGTTGTCAGTGCTAAGATTGCATTATGGAACAGGCTCTGGTTTATATTTGCTGTTAACAATATCCCGATGAGAAGTAGAATTGCACTATATTTTGTTTTGTTAGGTTGGGGGAGAGGTGTTCCCATATGTTCTTACTTGAATCTGTACAGGCTATTAGGCAATGTTTTATACATATGTACTCAACCACAAAAGAAACGTAAGTTGTACATAAAATACAGATAATGATAAGAGCATAAAAGATATGAAGATAATATTAACAATTTATAACAGAGAAAGAAAAATTTGACAACAAATGGGCGTTGATTGTTTGATGACAACCATCCGTGTATTGAAAAATGCCCCCGAAAACAGGGTACCCCGCCAAATCAGAAAAAATGACAAGAATCAGTTGTGTCCATCAATAGCTTGTGGCCTCTGTTAGCTGTGCCGCCCATCACTGTTACATTGAGTCGACAAGTCTTTGGAAGAAGGCTTGAGGAATCCCGTTTCATTCCCGTACCGAAAAGGTCTTCAAGTTCCTGAAGTTTATGTGGCTGCCTTGCATCCTAAAGATGTCTCCCAATCTCGTCCCAGACATGCTCAATCGGCACCAGGTCCTGTGACAAAGACAGCGAGGGCATCACAGGAATATTATTCACTTTGAGGAAGTCCATAGAGACCCGTGCTGTATGGGGATGAGCTTTGTCCTGCTGAATGACCTGGAGGTTGAGGTTGACCCAAGAAGAGAGGTCTGATGTAATTATGAAGAACATCATCCCTACACATGACAGTACATGCTGATGGAACACGTGTAGAGGGGTCCTGTGATGATAACTGAAGCCTCCCCACACCATGATGTTTCCTCCTCCCCACCGGTCGGCCTGTAAGATACAGCAGTAACACTCATTACATCGTTTCCACATTCTGATGCAGCTATAGGCATGAGGGAGGTTGAACCTTGATTCGTCTGAGAAGACAACTTGTTACCACTGTTGACATCGTCAACGCAGATGCTGTTGGGCCCAATGCAGATGTTGTTGGCCGTGATGTTGAGTCAATAAGGGCCTGACAGAAGGACAGTGACATCTGATTCCCGCCTGGTCAAGCAGATGTGTCACCTGGATGTAACTGGAGTAGTGACCAGCAGCCTTCAAGCCTTTTGATAGTTTGGGATTAAAAAATTAATTTTTTTTCGAGTTTCCATGGCAACGACTTTGACTTAGACTGAAAAAGTCCTCGTTTCCTGAGCAGATCTTGAAAACCGTACAATATTTCTTCACCATGTTTCCTTAGCAAGAGCATAACTCGGAAACTGCTTACATATTCTACAAAAACATCTACGCAGTGTTGTCTGAAAACCATTACCATAATTACCTAATTGAGATCTATACCACTTGACAAAGGAACTTGGTCAAGATATATGGTGAATTATTGTGGAAATACACTTTACAAGTGGCACCTGAACTAGCCTACTTCATTGCAGTGCATGGTGGTAACATAAACAGTGGCACCCGAACCAGCCTACTTCCTCACAGTGGGTACCGGTAACATGTACAAGGGCACCTGAACCAGCCAACTTCCTCACAGTGGATAGTGGTAACATGAACAGGGGCACCTGAACCAGCCTACTTCCTCAAAGTGGATATTGGTTACATGAACAGGGGCACCTGAACCATCCTACTTCCTCACAGTGGGTAGTGGTAACATGAACAGTGGCACCCGAACCAGCCAACTTCCTTGCAGTGGGTAGTGGTAATATGAACAGGGGCCTCGAACCAGCCAACTTCCTCACAGTGGATAGTGGTAACATGAACAGGGGCACCTGAACCAGCCTACTTCCTCACAGTGGGTAGTGGTAACATGAACAGGGGCACCCGAACCAGCCAACTTCCTCACAGTGGATAGTGGTAACATGAATAGGGGCACCTGAACCAGCCTACTTCCTCACAGTGGATAGTGGTTACATGAACAGGGGCACCTGAACCAGCCAACTTCCTCACAGTGGATAGTGGTAACACGAACAGGGGCACCCGAACCAGCCTACTTCCTCACAGTGGATAGTGGTAACATGAACAGGGGCACCCATACCAGCCTACTTCCTCACAGTGGATAGTGGTTACATGAACAGGGGCACCTGAACCAGCCTACTTCCTCACAGTGGGTAATGGTAACATGAACAGTGGCACCTGAACCAGCCAACTTCCTCACAGTGGATAGTGGTAACATGAACAGTGGCACCTGAACCAGCCTACTTCCTCACAGTGGATAGTGGTAACATGAACAGTGGCACCTGAACCAGCCTACTTCCTCACAGTGGGTACCAGTAACATGAACAGTGGCACCCGAACCAGCCAACTTCCTCACAGTGGATAGTGGTAACATGAACAGTGGCACCTGAACCAGCCTACTTCCTCACAGTGGATAGTGGTAACATGAACAGGGGCACCCGAACCGGCCTACTTCCTCACAGTGGGTACCAGTAACATCAACAGTGGCACCTGAACCAGGATACCAGTAACATGAACAGTGGCACCTGAACCAGGATACCAGTAACATGAACAGTGGCACCCGAACCAGCCTACTTCCTCACAGTGGGTACCATTAACATGAACAGTGGCACCTGAACCAGGATACCGGTAACATGAACAGTGGCACCCGAACCAGCCTACTTCCTCACAGTGGGTACTGGTAACATGTAATAGGGCACCGGAACCAGCCTACTTCCTCACAGTGGGTACTGGTAACATGAACAGTGGCACCTGAACCAGGATACAGGTAACGTGAACAGTGGCACCCGAACCAGGATACCAGTAACATGAACAGTGGCACCTGAACCAGGATACCAGTAACATGAACAGTGGCACCCGAACCAGCCTACTTCCTCACAGTGGATAGTGGTAACATGAACAGTGGCACCTGAACCAGCCTACTTCCTCACAGTGGATAGTGGTAACATGAACAGGGGCACCTGAACCAGCCTACTTCCTCACAGTGGGTACCAGTAACATGAACAGTGGCACCCGAACCAGCCAACTTCCTCACAGTGGATAGTGGTAACATGAACAGGGGCACCTGAACCAGCCTACTTCCTCACAGTGGATAGTGGTAACATGAACAGTGGCACCTGAACCAGCCAACTTCCTCACAGTGGATAGTGGTAACATGAACAGGGGCACCCGAACCGGCCTACTTCCTCACAGTGGGTACCAGTAACATGAACAGTGGCACCTGAACCAGGATACCAGTAACATGAACAGTGGCACCTGAACCAGGATACCAGTAACATGAACAGTGGCACCCGAACCAGCCTACTTCCTCACAGTGGGTACCAGTAACATGAACAGTGGCACCCGAACCAGGATACCAGTAACATGAACAGTGGCACCTGAACCAGGATACCAGTAACATGAACAGTGGCACCCGAACCAGCCTACTTCCTCACAGTGGATAGTGGTAACATGAACAGTGGCACCTGAACCAGCCTACTTCCTCACAGTGGGTAGTGGTGACATGAACAGGGGCACCCGAACCAGCCAACTTCCTCACAGTGGATAGTGGTAACATGAACAGGGGCACCTGACTCAGCCTACTTCCTCACAGTGGGTAGTGGTAACATGAACAGTGGCACCCGAACCAGCCTACTTCCTCACAGTGGGTACCAGTAACATGAACAGTGGCACCCGAACCAGCCTACTTCCTCACAGTGGGTACCAGTAACATGAACAGTGGCACCTGAACCAGCCTACTTCCTCACAGTGGATAGTGGTAACATGAACAGTGGCACCCGAACCAGCCTACTTCCTCACAGTGGGTAGTGGTAACATGAACAGTGGCACCCGAACCAGCCTACTTCCTCACAGTAGATAGTGGTAACACGAACAGTGGCACCCAAACCAGCTTACTTCCTCACATGGGGTACTGGTAACGTGAACATTGGCACCCGAACCAGCCTTCTTCCTCACAGTGGGTAGTGGTAACATGAACAGTGGCACCCGAACCAGCCGACTTCCTCACAGTGGATAGTGGTAACATGAACAGTGGCACCCGAACCAGCCTACTTCCTCACAGTGGGTAGTGGTAACATGAACAGTGGCACCTGAACCAGGATACCGGTAACATGAACAGTGGCACCCGAACCAGCCTACTTCCCCACAGTGGGTACTGGTTACATGTAATAGGGCACCGGAACCAGCCTACTTCCTCACAGTGGGTACTGGTAACATGTAATAGGGCACCGGAACCAGCCTACTTCCTCACAGTGGGTACTGGTTACATGTAATAGGGCACCGGAACCAGCCTACTTCCTCACAGTGGGTACTGGTTACATGTAATAGGGCACCGGAACCAGCCTACTTCCTCACAGTGGGTACTGGTAACATGAACAGTGGCACCGGAACCAGGATACCGGTAACATGAACAGTGGCACCCGAACCAGGATACCAGTAACATGAACAGTGGCACCTGAACCAGGATACCGGTAACATGAACAGTGGCACCCGAACCAGCCTACTTCCTCACAGTGGATAGTGGTAACATGAACAAGGGCACCCAAACCAGCCTACTTCCTCACAGTGGGTAGCGGTAACATGAACAGTGGCACCCGAACGAGCCTACTTCCTCACAGTGGGTACTGGTAACATGAACAGTGGCACCTGGACCAGGATACCAGTAACATGAATCATGTCGCCCGAAGCAGCCAACTTCATCGCAGTGCATGCTGGAAACATGAACAGGGGCACCCGAACCAGCCTACTTCCTCACAGTGTAAGTTTGTTGATGTGCTTGATGTTTTGTGTTTCACAGAAACACACATCAATGATTACAGTGAAAGAGACCTGCCAGGATATCAAGTCTATCCAGGAGACACTACACATGGTATTGCTGTGAATGTTTCAAGAACAGTGTCCAGCTATGTGATGTAATGTCATCTCGCAGTATTGAATATATTTCCTTTCTTGTTGGCAAGTTGTGCATTGCTTGTGTGTATGCTCCTCCAAACATGCCAAAAGTGTCATGGATTCGGTTGAAACTTCAGGATCTCTCCAAGCAGCATGAATGTGAACATGTCCTAGTTACTGGGGATTTTAACTGTGATCTGAGTGAAAAGCTGTATCTTGAAGATTTCTTTAATGTGCGGAAAATGACTCAACTTATTCACTCTCCAACTCACTGTCTAGGAGCTACACTGGACTTGCTGTTTACTGATCATGTCTGTGCTGTAGCATTCCAGACTCCAGTCTACTACTCAGATCATCAGATGATTGGTGCTGTACTTCTCAGTACACTTCATGGTGACCCCTGCTCTCATTAATCTCTAAGTAAAGTAAGAACTCCCTTACTTCTCTGATTATTGTTTAAGTAATAACACAACTCATTACTAATACAGTTACATATTCTATCATAAACTGCAGAGGGCATAACAACACCAGTAATAACTTTATTAGTGCTGCAATTACGCCATTTACAAGAAGGTCCAGTGAACATAGTTCACAGGAGCTAATGCATTGCACACAACCGGACATGTAATATTGGCAGGGGATATGATTATTTGATGCTTGTTATATTTGCCTTAGGGCTCCAGATATATGTTTGAGACATGGAATATTTTCCCACATGTTGTCATTCACATTGGTGATATCAGTATATTTGCGCTCTCTTGGGTCCATAGAGTAAGAAGCATTCATTACACATCAAGAAAAGCCACTGAAAACGACATTCAGCTGTCTATAATAAATTAATAATTACTAATACACCTGGGTTCTCGAATCATTTGTCAAGGTTGTTTTAAAAGCAGTCATCTGTATGTAAAAACCTACATATACAGATAACCCGTAAGTGAACAAAATACTGAAGTCGCGGAGACATTTTCAGAAAAGCAATTTGATTTATGTTTAAAATAGGTACCTTTACATGGTTAGAACTAAACTCAAAAGCTTAAATAGCCTGACTAAAGATAGAATGCCATGGTAATGTTAAAACAAAGGGTAAATTTGTAAATTTGTACAAGCCCACAGGAATTTGTACTATAGCCACAGGCTACCAGGTTAGTGTTAAGTTCTTACTCTGTTTTTGTCAGTTAGTGTGGAAATAAATAAATAAATATATGAGTATTTGTAGGCAGATTAAACACGCTTATCAAGAAAGAAAAGCAGATGTTAAAACAAACAACAAAATATAATCCTGCTAGACCTTGGAGGGTACTTTGGATATATTAACAGTGACTCTCATTCTAACACTTCGTTATCAGTCAGAATATGTGGTTTGCATATTTTAATGAAATGTTCAAGTCGGACAGCTAAATATCAATGACAATCAGATCAATAGTGATGACACTTTTAGATGAAATTGTTTCTGTTATCCAGAAATCACCTATTTAAAAGCAATGCTGGTGCAGATGAAATTTTAATGGAAATGTTAAAATATACATCAGGCTGTTTTATGCGGTTTCTTTTTCACCTTCTACAACTCTGGTACAAAAGAAGCGAATAAGAAATTTCCAGACAATTACAGGGGCATATCAACATTAAGTGTGATGAGGAACAGACTTTCTGCTTTGGCAGAATTGAAGGACAAAATACCTCATTCGCACGCAGGTTTTATCCACGATAGATAAAATTTTCACTCTATTATCTATTATGAGAATGTGTTTGTTGTCGTAAGTACTCAAATATCTTTCAGGTTCAAACGATGTTTTATATTGTTATACATCACATATCAGGTGCGATTGTTGAATGTTAACATCCAATTTTCACGAAATTCATTTACAAGCAACGTTTTAGATACCTTAATAAAAGCTATGTTGTCCCCAACCGACTGATTTGACTATAAATCCCAAACCATGGAAAATAAAATGTTATAAACAGATGCTTCCCAAGTATTATGACCACTGTTGTTGAAATACATCAATATGTTATATATATACCATTTGGGGGATAAGCCCTTAGTGCATTCTGGTTAGTTTTAACCAATACTTAATAACACTGACTTGGCAATGACGTAAAGCAGGTAGAGGTAATTTTCACCTTTTAAAAAACCTTTACTTGACCAAAGATGAACTCATTCTAATAACTTACCCCCATACTTCTTCTGAACCATATAAGACTAAGAGAGTATTTGCAATACCTGTGTATCAAATATTTTAAAATATACATTTGGATCAACCATTCCAGTCTTATTAAATCATGACATAAACATATGATAAACGTATCGTGTACCGAACGTGCAGCTTGAGGTTTCAAATGATAAATGTAGCGCGACCAAGGCTCGCTAAATCCAATGTTTATTCCTAATACAAGATATTTACCACCCCCAAACACACTTGTGTGATAACCTCTATGTATCTGAAAAATCCCAAGTATATTTAGCTGGATGTGTAAACTCACTCTATACAAGAATGACATCATCAGCAAATTACAGTAACAAAATTTCATAAATATCAGGAATAATAATGTGCCATGTTTACTATGTTTAAGTATAATGTTTGATAGTTCCCCTATAAATAGGGAAAATAACAAAGGGCAAAGTATGCAATTTTGGCGTACACCATTTGGACATTCAAATAAATCTGTACATGAGGAAGTGTGTTTAACACATAATGTAACAGAAGAGAAAATGGCTTCCATTGCTGATAACATTTTTCCACCCGGGCCATTACATTGGAAATAATACCATAGTTTATCTCTTTTTACACAATTGAGGTTTTCTTCAACATGTTTAGGTCCGTTAGGCGTAAATGAATCATATATTGTTTTCCACTTTTTAATCAGTGTTAAAATTTAATGATTTAGGGGGTCCCTGGATTCAAATACAAAAGGAGAAGACCTCAAGGGGACCCTAGGATCCCATTCATTATGAACACTGCTGATCAACCTTATACATGTGTTTCAGATTCTCAACACTGAGGATCCCCAGTGGTACAAGGCTGAGTATGAGGGGCATCAGGGCTACATTCCTTCGAACTATGTACACTTTGACGAGCCACAGTGAGTCCAACCATTTCCACAAAACTCTGAAGTAGTAAATGTGTATGGTTCATATCCTTTGAACTGTGTTGACTTTATTGACTGTTATTTCAGGTGGTACAAGGGCAAGATTCCACGTTCAACAGCAGAAGAGATGCTGTTATCAGGCGGTTCGCAACCTGATGGAGCTTTTGTTGTCCGCAAAAGTGAATCGGATGACAATGGACACTCACTTTCTGTCAAGTAAGTTTCAATTACAATAAGTTGCAATATATCACGGTGGTTATATTGTTATCAAGGTTCGAGTTAAGTAGTGTGTTTCCTACCATGGAGATCCCAGGTTAGAATTGATCTTCAGCCAACCATGCTTGTCATAAGAGGCGACTAATGGAATCTGGTGGTCAGGCTCTCTGACTTGGTTGATGCATGTCATTGTATCCCAATTCCGTAGATCGATACTCATGATGACAATGACTGTTTGTCTGCTTTAGACTTGATTATTTACAGACCGCTGTCATTTAGCTGGAATATTGCTGAGTTGTGGCGTTAAACAACAAACAAACAAAGTAGGCTATTTCAGATGTGATAGGAGGCATGGGGATGTCAATTCAATCTGCAGGGTTGTGTCACTTTATAGCTGTAGCAGGGATCCAGGTGCTGTGGTATTCATTCTGAGATTCAACCCTGTAATAGTCCTTGTCTGTCATAATTATACCTCAGGCGGTGGGGTTGCCTAGTAGTTAAAGCATTGGCTTGTCAAGCAGTACATCCAAGTTTTATTCCCCACCACTCTTACTCTAAAATTTTTTTGTTTAATTGTCCCCCGCCGCGCGAAAGCGCGATGCGGGGGATATAGTATTCACGACCGTCCGTACGTCCCACCTGTTTGTTGCCGCGATATCTCAAGAACTAAACACTGGATTGTCTTCATATTTGGAACTATGGTGAATATACAAATTCCGCAGACACCAGTCAGTTTTGGTGACCTTGACCCCATTTTCAAGGTCACAGCAGGCAAATCTGCTTTTGGAGTTGGAAAACGGTGTTGCCGCGATATCTCAAGAACTAAACACATTTGATTGTCTTCATATTTGGAACTATGGTGTATATACAGACTCCGCAGACACCAGTCGGTTTTGGTGACCTTGATCCCATTTTCAAGGTCACAGCAGGCAAATCTGCTTTTGGAGTTGGAAAACGGTGTTGCCGCGATATCTCAAGAACTAAACACTGGATTGTCTTCATATTTGGAACTATGGTGTATATACAGACACCACAGACACCAGTCGGTTTTGGTGACCTTGACCCCATTTTCAAGGTCACAGCAGGCAAATCTGCTTTTGGAGTTGGAAAACGGTGTTGCCGCGATATCTCAAGAACTAATCGCTGGATTGTCTTCATATTTGGTACTATGGTGTATATACAGGCGGGGAACATTTCGTCACTTTGTGACAAATACTTGTTATTTTCAGATATGGAAATGGCGTTCAACATTTTAAGATACTACAGGACCAGTCATCAGGAAAATACCATCTGTGGAACATGAAGTTTAATTCCATTAATAAACTTGTTGCACACCATCGAGATAAGTCTGTTTCCAGACTTGATACCCAACCAAAGATCCTGCTATGTGACATGTCGTCAGGAGGAGGGGGAATAGTGGTGAGTACAAATAATGCAATGGATGTATTCTACCGCTTCCTGACAATCCTGCTGTTTTACGAGAGTAGGTCTTCAAAAACCCATGCTTGCCGTAAAAGGCGCTTATGCTTGTCGTAAGAGTCGACTATCGGGATGCTCATGATGTCAATCACTGGATTGTCTGGTCCAGGCTCGATTATTTACAGACTGCCGTCATATAGCTGGAATATTGCTGAGTACGGCATTAAACAACAAACAAATTAAAAAAAAGCAAAGAGTGTTACAAATACTGCATGCTGGTCTGTTTCGTGGTATTCTACTGCTTGACAATCCTGCCGTATAACATTGAGAGTGCTACAAACACTATGAATAGTATGATATTCTGAAATAATGTTCAAAGCAGTGTCAAGACATTGTTATGTTATTATGCAGTGTTAAAGGTTATAGGGAATCCTGTTGTAGTATTTGAATCTGGGTAACTCTGAACCATGAAGATGTCTGTCTGATTTCAGTGGGGACAAGTACAGTAAACTACAGTTATAACCAGCGGTAGAAATTGGCATTAGTCTTATAGTCCTTTCCAAATTGCCAAATACTTAAGGTATCATAAGGACGAGTAGAAATTTGCCATTTTTAAGGGTTTTGCTATATGTTATCATTATAAGGACAAGTGGACTAAAAATGTTAGTGTCTATCACTGGTTATAACTATGATTTTAGTTCTTTATAACCGTAGTTCATTATAAGCATACATATATGTACAGCATATTTTCAGCAAATGCCCAGGACCAAAAAACTGTACGTTATATCCATCAGTTCATTATAAGCGTGTTCGTTATACTGTTATAAAGATAGTTTGCTGTACGTCATTAAGTTGATCAAGTTAAAAAAACATAATCAGAAAAGTTATTATTTACAGAGTTGTGGCCCTTTAGACATGATGCACAGGACCCCCAATGCTGACAAGTATTTTTGGCAATCACTATGGCTACAAGGGTGACATTATGCATACATCATTAAGGGATAGATATATTTAGGACTTTTATTTACAAATGTAAGCATGCAAAGATGGCAGGGCAACTGTTATCTGACCATGTGGAATATATAAATACATATACAGTAAACTACATTTATAACGAACACACTTATAATGAACTGGCAGGTATAACAAACTCTTTTTGGCTGTATATATATGCCTATAACGAACTACAGTTATAATACTATTAAAAGTATATTAAAAGTCAGTGTCCCTTTGAGTTCGTTATAACCGTATTTTACAGTACTTGAAATTGTTTAGAAGAAAGAAATTGTTTAGAATGTTACCACAGTTTACAGGACTTCTCTAAGAAACCTCTTCTCTTTGAGAAACAGCATAGACTTCCCACAACAGTAAAAGATGATTTTGAAAGGCCGTAAACATATCTATTACATTTCCAGTGCAAGTGTCGTGCTGCATACAACTTCGCACCGAGCGATGCTGAGGAACTCAGCTTCCAGAAAGGGGATGTTCTGAATATTTTGGAGAAGGTGGACGACAACTGGTGGCGTGGTGAGCTCAATGGCAATGAGGGACTCGTGCCAGCCAACTACCTGAAAGAGATGTGATTTAAACTCTGTTAAAGACTTCCGATTATGGGCAACAACTCTTGGTATCTATAGTGCCATGGATACTAAACACTCAATACATATTTGTATTTGTGAAAGATAGTCACCAGCAAATCCAAACCCACCACTATATAGATTAAGATTTCTCATTTTAGTATCTGGTTTTTTTTCACAATTTAGACGTTTCCATTTATTTGTTTATGCGTTTATTTCTAAGCAAAAAACCTAAGCATAGCCTCTTTTTGTATTCATAATATTTATTTTCCAATTGTAGAATGTATATCTATACTCGCTGTTTCTCAGGCATTGGCTATTTAGCTCACCTTACTAGGGTTCATCTGAGCTTGAGTCAAGGCAAAGGAAGCAGTATCTCCATATTTTGAGCCAAGAAATTATATGTTGCAAATATCCAAAAGCTCAGGTGAGCTACAAGTATCATGGGTCAATAGTTATAAAAATATTGCAGACAGTTTACCACGATAGTTTGAAATTGAATCTTTTTATCCAAGATCAGGAATAAATTAATTTCATGCATAAATGTTCCCATTGAACACAAAGAGCATGAGAGCCAAGTATTGGTTTGCAGTATTTAGAGAAAAGGTCAGATTTTCTGATGTTAGAAGGTGTAACAGTGAAGATGAATTTACCTGTAATCCTTCGTTCTGTGTAGTATAATCATTCCCATTTAAGTGTGCTGTATGTTGCACTGGTGCTTTGAATTATGATAATAAGTATATTATCTGAACATGTGATATATGAAAACACTTATAGACATTAATACTTATTAAATTGCCAAAAGAAGTGGTTTTGAATGTTAACAGATTTACCAGGACTTTTATGAGGCCTTCTTTAACATAGCTGTACTGTACAGAAGGATTGTTTGTATCACATCACTGTCTGGTCAGTGGATATGTACTTGCTCAACTGACCTAAGGGTCCATTTCATACCATGGGATGAGAAATTGCTGGCATCAAGATCTGAAGTTTTTGTATTTTTGACTCCTGTTCAAGACAAACAAACCTCTTGGAAAAAAATTAAAAAAGAGATATCTTCTTTACATGAATTAATAACATAGATGAGCTCAGCTTTTTATTTGTAAACTGTACTGGTTGCATGGCAACGTGTACAACATCTGAAGCCATTTGACATGTGGAAAAGAAGCTTTAGAAATTGGATGTTCAAAATGTAAAACTAGCTTCAGTTTATGGCAACTTTTGACTTGTTTTATCAACTGGTTTGAGATATTTTGCGTAATCAACATGTCAAGATTAACATTTTCACAAGAACAGTGGAGAGAAAATGCCTGATGTGTTGCTTGTTCATGTTGACTTTTTTATTTTTATTATAGAGAGACTATGAGCAGTTGAAAATTGTAATACAGACATACAAGGATAACATATTCTTCCACAATGTCAATTACATACACAAATTATGTTTACTACTTGTGCCATATTCAGTTTATTAACACCTTGGGGGCATAAACATTTTGAATGCTGACAGCATATTGTATATTTGTATCTATTTGCTATGCTATACTTCTGAGTTCATCAACATATGGCAAACAGATACAGTTTTCAGTAGAAAGCTTCCAGCTAAAAGCACAAACAAAAGCATGATCATGCATGCACATTTTATATCAGACTCACAGTTGAATGTTTCTTTTAATATTTACATGATATAGAAATAAACAGACATTTCTGATAATATCAGTGCTCTAACTCTGCATAATAGAATTATTTATTGTAGGATATTTACGAAAATACTTTGTTAAAAACTTTTTCTTCAATCTCAGTTGGGATCTCAGACATGGAAAATATGACATAAAAATAACAAAAACTACAGACATGAAGGAAACCTGTTTGAACTTATCAGAGGACACCTGTTGAACAGGTTGTTAACACACCAAATACTGTAATATGTTGATGGATCCTTGTTGGAGGTCTTCATCCTTCTGCTTAGTGCGTTGTTTATATTAATCTTATTTGTGCTATTTTCTTTCATTTTCCTGAGAACAAGTGTTCTTTTTTATTCTTTTATCTCACCACTTACCAGTAGTTTTTTTTGCATTAGACAAGCTGTTCACCAGCTCCACATTTACTAGAACAAGAATGATTTGAGAATTAACTTCAATTTTTGTTGTATTCATAGAAGTATAAATGTAAATAACAGTGTCCATGCTGTGTAAATCTGCTTAGATTTACCAAAGTGTGCACACTGGTTTTTATGTTTATGTTTTTATATATTACAGCTGTACAGTGTTTTGTGTGTTAATGTTTCAGACCTGTCAACCCCTCATCATGACAATGTGGGAGATTTGACTTCAAAATGGGGGAGATTTGACTCCAAAGGGGGAGATTTTTAAGATAGTGAAGATAAGATAATTTCCAACTTTTATTTTTAATAATGTTACAAAGAAAACCAAATATTTTGAAACAATAAATAATCAATAAGTTTCTTATACGTACAGCTTGCTTAATTTCCGTTTGCATTTTCCTCCTCCAAAAATAAACCCAGCACAATCTACCCATATAACTTTCGTTCAAAGATCATCTCAGATAAACGCTAACAGATATTGAAATTTCACAATCGGTAGCTTGACCAGTTGACGACGTGTTCAATCCGACCAGTTGTCAGGCTTCGTTACGATGCAGGTTTTCTGAGTATTTGGCGCGATGTTGGTTACAAAATTCGCCAAAGAAATATCAAATGCATTTATCCTGACGCAACATCATCGCCCTTAATTTCAATAAGATATACTGGGTTTTTTTCTGTCTGCGGCAGTCTGTTGACAGTCCCATTACTTAGCTCCTTAAATTTCCTAGAAATGTTCATGTTATTCCATTCCAAGAAATGTATGCCATATTTGGAAGTACTATTACGTTTTACTACAATTTATGAATGAAATAAGTCTCGTTGTCGTTGTTGACCTTTCTGACCTTGATGTGTATTAATCTCATTGGTTGACTAGTACTGTTGTATGCAAATTAGATTGCAGATCTGGGACGCAAGCAAACTATTAGCCAATCAAATCGTGTAAAATAATCACGACACATTCTCGCGAAATTTGATAAAGTTCTGTTTTGATATTTTCTGTGCACACAAGTCACGATGTCAGTCAAAAGGAAATTTATAAGTTTCACTTTAAACTTTGACTTTGAAATCCTATCTGTGAGGAAGCCTGATCGTGTAACTCATTGTTATTTCGACTACCGAATCAACCAATCACGCATAGTGTTGTTTCTGAAGACGGCGCTTGCAGGACATATTTTGTTTTTATTTCCAAGAGTTCAATGACGTAACTTTGAGGTATGTTGATGTTTTAACAAAGTTTCTGACAAATCTGATAACCAATAAAGTTATGTATAACTGGACTGGCCATATGTATCTACGTTCTTAAATTATGGAAGAATAAACACGCTAAGAACATGAAGACAACAGTTCATTTCATGAAGTGATGAATACTTGGCTGATTTTTCATTACAAGTTCAACCCTTTAGGCACCTGTTAGGACTATCCGAGTTTTCTTAACAGTTTACATTGTTCAATCGTTCACCATATGAATTTAATTACCAGTTGATTACTGGACAAAGGCCCATCTGGGTCCCCCTGCGGGTGGCTGTGATAAGGGTCGCTAATCCGGGAGCCTACCGGACAGATCAGGACGCAAACTTCCCGTTCATTGTTTTCACTCACGGGACAATGGAGGCGATTTTTTTAAATAATGAAAAAATTCTGTTTTGCGGGAGAAATTGTCCATCTTGCGGGAGACTGGGAGATTTCATCAAATTGCGGGAGTCTCCCGCAAAATGCGGGAGGGTTGACAGGTCTGATGTTTAAGTAGGAAGATTGTGAAGTTATTATTTTTTTTGGCAAAACTAATTTCAATATTTGTTTGTGTTTATCGAGTTACAAATGTAAAGAAAACTGTATGGACACTGTCTAAGTCCATGTAAATCTGTCTAAATCCGCTTATTTAATCATTGACACACAAAAATACTGTCAACACCAAATCAATGACATTGTTCAGCATAATAATGCAGCACAAGCCCCTCCCATTCTATTTTCAGCCATTCAGGAAACAGTAGTACGTTAGTGGGTATGGCATAATATTTTGCAAAAAGCATTTCTTGGTTAGCCAATCAAATGACACTTATATGTATCTATATTTTTATCACCAGATTTAGAAAAGAACCAACCCTTTAGGTATATGAGAAGTATTGAAACACAGCCAGTACATAACTGTTAATTGATGATGATATTTCATCCAGGTAACTGTGATTCCACAGGAGTGTGTTGTCATAATCAAAACTGTCTTACGTTAAGTCTGCACGTTCTGTGAATGCTTGATAAACCTGTTGGTGCAAATAAAGGACAAGAGGGAGGCGGTGACATACCTCCGAAATACCATCACATTTAAGCCTCACACAAATAACTTATCATTTGCATTGTAACTACACAAAATGATATGTTCCCGCCAATGTTTGCCATTATGATGATATGATATCAACTTCAATGTACAGTGAAACCCCTTTAATCCAGTTACTTGTGAATTGTGTGATTAATGTCCAGATGTTTCTTTTGTCTGTTTGTCTGTTCTTTAACGCCGCACACAGCAGAATTCCAGCTGGAGCAGACAATCCAGTGATTGACATCATGAACATTGATCACCCACGCTACTGGAAAACGATGACATGCACGTTTGTTGCCCCTTACAAGCATGGGTTGGTGAACACACAATTCTGACCCAGATCTTCTTGGGGGAATTTTAATGTGTTGTTCCTGACATAACTTGTCCTGCAGGCAGGGTTACCAGACTTACAAGGTTTCACTGTATGAGCCCTTGAGCTGTTGATAAAATAATTAGTCTATCATTCTCTCCGATTATGTTTCTAGGTTTGTCAGCACCATACCTGTGCTCATGGGTTTCACCAAAGTGGTAAACGTCTGAGACCTGCATTACTTCGGGCTTTCCTCCCACATTAAGCTGACATGCCGTGATGTAAATGGAATACTATTCAAAGCTGTATTAAAACCAACTAACTCACTCACTCATATCAGCTTAATGCTACTTAGAAATTAGTCAGTAACTTTAGTATCATTATATAAAATAACTGTATAAAACACTGTCGACATATCAGCTGTGATAGAGATTGATGCTGATGCTGAAGTCAGGGCAGCTCTTTTTTTCAGCAACAAATATTTTTAATGTTCGTGCAAGCCATCTGGCACAAGTGTTTCAAGGTTAAAAAATCAGGGTTTTGTTTGAAATTTTATTAAAAACAGTGACCATATCATGCCATTCCAGTGTAATGTGTTCGAATTGTGATATTACGATAAAACATTCAGATTAATCACTGTTTAATTTTGATAATGTAGCTCAAAGTTCAAGTTATCAGGAATTAAGTTTGACATGTCATTGCCATTTTGCGATTATTATCAAAGGTTCTACCGCCTGCCATTCAAATTTAAAGCTGAGTTCAAGGCAGATTTAATGGTTGATGGGTAACTCAGCTAAATGTTCAGTTTTCCAGCCAAAGACACGGTTTGATTCCTCTCATGGATCATTGTGTGCAACACATTCCAATGCTAGAAATACCACAGTATTGCTATCAGCAGAGAAAGACATTTTCACTCACTCACTCACTCACTCACTCACTCACTCACTCACTCTTTCACACATTCACACACTCAAGACAGATTAGGTAAGTTTCTATCCCAGATTAGGTAAGTTTCTATCCCAGATTTTAAGACATGATATGGGACTGGTGGTGTCGGGGAAGAATACATCTTGAAATTGAAGTGCCAAACTGATTGTTTGAAATAAAGCATGTTAAGTGCTATGCCTGTGTCAGTATGGTTGTGTGTGTACACCCAAGTTGTCTCCCTTGTTGCTGGTCAGTCCATAATGGTGTTTTAGCGTGTACATTATTTATGCCATGCTTCCATGTGTGTATGTAGTTTGTCGGCATAAGTGTTACTTTGGACACTGCTATGTCTATTATCTTTGTGACAGTCTTATCTGTATATTTCTTAATGTCTCTTGTGTGTCAGATGATGTGTTTAAAAGATTTCAGTTGTTTAATTTTTGGAACAAAATTTTATTTTTTTCTAAAATAAATATTTTTTGTTATATCTTATCATTTACTTAGGACATTTGCTTGAAAGAGGTCATACACTAAATAAAACTGATCTATATGATACAGACATTGTAACAGCCCATGGGTGGTCCAGTCGTGTAAGATGCTGCGGTTTGCTGTGCAGCGTTGCATCCCTTAGTTATACCAGAATCCTAAATAACCTCCTTGGCAAAGCAATCTTAGTGCTACATCTGTTGTAAGTCTGTGTTAAGGTATGTGAGTCCCACAAAGCACAATGTTCGCTTTGTGGAACGAGCCCCTGCACTGCGTGCAATTCTAAGCAATGATGTCTTCATTGGACACTGCTATGTCTGATATGTCTTTATATATGCTGGAGACAAGCTACATTGGGCTCATTTCCAGAAACAGCTGACAGTTAATAAGGACCTGGGCAATTTGTCTATCTTGATGGATGTCTCATTCTGTTATATAATACCCAACTAAGGATACTGTGCAAGCTCACAAAAATCTGGAGACACCAGCATTTATACTTTTGTTTATAGTTTCTTGAAATGAAGCTTAACATGCATTTGTGTCATGCCCAAATCGCATCTTATTCATACGCCAACATCTCCAAACAACTAGTCTGATTTTTTCCCCATCTGGACACTCAGAATATCCCTGTCAAATGTTGAGTAGCATACATTACAACAGAGGTACTGCTGCCTATATTTGTCATATTGATTTACTGACAGGCTCATGAAAGACGGTACCTCAGAATTTGTTTCTTTATTGATAGTAACTGTAACATATCATTAATTTGTTGTTTTAAACAGGTTTACTAAGGTTACAATGACTTTGACAATCAACAAGAAGAAACATGTTTGTGATTTATTAGATTTTAATGATTTTAAATTTATGTAGAAATCAACCATATTTTTTATTGATCTCCACGTGTCAAAATACTCAACATAACTTTATAAGCATTCAAATTGACAAGACAAGACTTGTCTTCTTGCATTCAAATTATTGAAAATTGACAATGTCTTCATGTTTTAATATATTTTTTGAAGGGCTCTTTCTGTAAGATTGTCACATAACATGGCGTGCATAATGTAATGATGATGTCACTTTGTGACAGAAATTGTGTAAAATTTTGATGTCTGAAATCAGGATTCCGGTGGCCACCACAGGGTAGGTGTTGTTGGGTTATGGTCTTGACCCATCACATTTTCTGTAGAATTTGACTGATTTGTAAAATGCGTAGAGTACTGATTTTGTATGATTATTAAAAGGTCAACAAATGTATTTTTCGGTCAGAAGAGTTTCTTTTTCTATTTTTTTATAAGTCATATATTTTTCATGTTTATTTAATAGGAAATTAACCTCAATCAATCAGACACTTTTTATTTATTTTATTTGCATTGGTATGATTGAAAAGAAATTGAAGTGGTCTAGCCTTAAATGGGTTATATACACGACATCCAATGGATTACACTGACTTTGATATTACTGAGCATGTCTATTATCACTGAGTCTTTATAGAATATCTTGTAATGTAAGCACGAGATTGTACATGTTACTTTGGACCACTCTCCTGACATGCCATTTTATAAACCCAGTGATACACTGGGGAAAGCAGTGTTAAAACATGTAGTTTGAATGGTGAAAAAGATATAATTTGTTTTGTTTGATCTGTTTTTTAGAAGATGTTTGATAATCTGATTACACTTGCTGCCAGACTCCGTTATTGATTTAATGACCGAATACTTTCACAAATTAATCTTTTATCTTGTCTCCTGGATATATCACTTCAAAACCTGTATGCCGAGGAGTACTTTACCATGTCTGTTAATCTGTCTGGAGATTCTTTTGACTTTACCGGTATGTCATTATCACTACTTTTTGCATTCCACCACGTTATACTATTATGCCAAAACTTTTTAAAATATTGTCATGATATTTCTGAGACATTCCTTTCCTAACTCCATATCTTTCAAATATGTACACATATCAGCTGCATAGTCAATCATGCACATGTGTGTGACGTGACCATATGTTGATGTGATGTCACCATGCAGATGTTTGACATGTGACATACATATGGTGACACTGACATGCATATCTGACACCTAACCATGCATACATATGTGACCATGCATATTTGTTACATGTTGTCATTCATATATGTGACTTGTAAGATGCATATTTGTTACATGTAGTCATTCATATATGTAACATGTGACATGCATATTTGTGACATGTTAAGTGTATTTCTGACATGACCTGCATATCTGACCATGCATATTTGTTACATGTCATTATTCACATATGTGACATGTAACATACATATTTATGATGTGACATATGACATGAATCTTTGTGTGACATACTTACATGTGACATGTCCATGCATATATGTGTGACATACATAATAGAGAAATGTGACAATGAATTCATATTTGACATGAGATCATGCATACACGTGAAGTATGACACAATTCAGATACTGTACATATATATGTGTGACCAGGCACTTGACTTAAGACACATGAACGTAATCAGTGTTAAATCAATGCAACACAGTCTTGTATTTTACAGATTTATCAGATATATAGCATTGCTCTTGTAACTGACATATGGCACTACCATTATTCACAGCACTGGTGAATGCATGCTCTCCCACAACTATTTTGTCTCAGGGACGAACCATTTAATATCCGGGGTTGATGGGGTGTTAGGGTGGGGTGGGGAGGATTTGTGTCATGGACAGAATAGTGGTGAGGGTCACTGCTTCATGACCAACATTCTTTTTCTTTGGAACAAGGAGCTGAATACATGTGTTTCAACAAACATTTTATTTAGGTAATCCAGCATGTACAAAATGATTCTTTTCCTGGTATTTCTTGGAAAAAAAATTTCATTAAAAAGAATACCATTAACACCACCACCTACCCACAACCCCCCAATTGAAACTTCAAGTGGTTTGTCCCTTGTATATTTTTATACACTTGTATTTTTAATTTTGTCTCTGTTGTGTTTTTGACAAACATTACAGTAGTGTTTGTACCAGGACTGTTCAGGTGCTTGTTTGTTTGCATTTTCAATGCACTGGTTGTAGACCAGTGTGCTTATACAATTGTGTTTCTACACATGTCTGTCGTGCACCATCCATCATGCCACCACCTCAAGTTAGCATTGAAGAATTTAGGCACAAATAATTGAGAACAATCTCTCATGAAAGGAAGCACTTCGCTATGAGTGGGTTTTTTGGATAGTTTTATGAAATTCATAAGCCATTGATATTTCTCTTAAAAGATTAGAAATATTGGTGAAAAGTAACAATATCAGGTCATATGAAAATGACCTGACAAGTTTTCAGACAGTAACATTAACAAGTATTGACAATATTTAGATTTCCAACTATATCTCAATTTGTGGTCAGGCCATACATATGAATGGGCAGGTACAATACAAAACCAGTTGAGCACCAACCTGCAATGTTTTATTTTTGATTGTGTTCTAAATTATAATATGCCTGTGACATCAGTCGGTTAATGAAGACAGAGAACTACAGAGAGGGTGACTCCATTTATGAATCTCGAGCAGCGACCTCCATATTTGGTTCATATACGTCAAAAAGAAATAGTTTTTCTGTCAGTAAGGTATGCCTCTTATTCAATAGAAGAGAAAACTGTTTGATACAGCTTAAGAGGTCAACAATCATGAGGCTGTTATGTACCATATGTGGAAAAGTCATTTGTATCGTTTGTTTGACATGTGTATTGTATTGATAGCTGTACATCAGTCTTGTAAGATTGGGCCATTCTGCTATGTAATGTATGTTTCGTGATTCAACAAGGAGTAGAATGAATTCCATAGTATTGCTACATAGACAAGTATGATGACATTCCATTTCTGTTTGAAAAAATGAAATGATTGTTATGTGTCACAGTTTCTTTCAGAAAGTAAACGTCAATTATATAAAGGCGAGTTGTGTTCTTGGTTGTGATGATCTGCAATCAAATGTGGTTCTTGTGGGTGTTCCCAACTGGAGCGTGGCTATTATAAGTACATGTAGTACAGCAGTCAACATGTGATCCCTGTGTCTAGCCTGGGTCCCCCACAAGTATTCCTGAGAGACTCAGATCCTGGGACTCACAAATCGATAGATAGGTAAGTTACAGTACACAGCAACATCAGCTCTTGGTTTCAAAGTAGCAATGAGTAAGTGGATGAATGTTGTGTTACATCAGCAATGTCCACAAACTGTCTCCACATTCTCCCTTACCAGTTTTCCATGGTTCTCCTTTTGTGCATGACAGAGACAGAATCCTTGAGGAGGATCAATGTCTGAAAAGATTTACTTCCAAGAAGTAAGTCTTGAAAGTTGCAACTACATGTTCGAGTAGATAAAACCAAATATATATTTTTTTTATTCAGATTTACAGGTTTTAATGACAAAGGTAGCTCTTGCTCCCAGGTAAATGAGTCACATATCAATGTCTGATTTAATATCTTTAGTATAAGTGTAGCAATGAACACAGTCGGTTAGAATGAATTTCATTCGGGAGCATCTGAATGTATTAAATGGTTCCATAAGGCTAATGCTAACTATTTGGTTAAAACATTTGTAACACTGTGTGAAGCCCATTCTTGGTTTCTTTGGTTTTCCCTGTCATATTTCTTTTTAATGAATGACACATTTCACTGAGCACGCCAGTCCTTGTTTTATCCAAAAACTCTTTTGATATGATGCGGCTGTTGATGAAATCACCAACCTTCCACTCCCTGGGCAGACGATCTGTCCACATTACCATGGAGACCAACGGTTCTGGAGGAGACCACTCGGGCCTCCCTGTTGAAATCACCTGTTTTTGTTCACATTAAAATAAGATCTTTTATTCTGATCCAGTACCTGACCTTGTAATGGAGGGAAGGTCAGATCTTGACGGAGAGAGGTATCAAAACAGTGTAAACGTTCAGATTTTAATGAAAGCTGGATGTTTTTACATGTGACATCTGACTTGCTGAAAATCGAGGAATCCTTCATTTTTATTGTGTGGGCAAAGATGCTTTGAATTCACCTAAATGGCCTAAGGAGGGTTAGTCAGATCTTGACAAAGACCAATATTGAGTCAGAAAATGGTTTTAAGTTCATTTAAATGAGTTCAACTGGGTTCCCTATTTACAACTAAAGTAAATATGGCCAGCCAGGTGCTGGTCAGGTGTGTGTAGCTCTAAACAATTGCTCACATCAGCAGATAACACAGGACTTGATCTATGCTCTTGCAGGGTGTCTGTATTAGCCCAATGGGCCTAGTCGACTCAGCGGGTAACTTCTGTCACAGACGGGGGCACGGGTGGCCCAGTCGTCTAAGGCGCCGCGATTCGCTGTGCAGAGTTGCGTCCCTTGGGCACGCCAGAAACCTATGATTGTGGGTTCGAATCCCGGTTCGCCCCAATTATGTTTCTAGGTTTGTCAGCACCATACCCGTGCTCGTGGGTTTCACCGAAGTGGTAAACGTCTGAGACCTGCATCACTTCGGGCTTTCCTCCCACATTAAGCTGACACGCCGTGATATAACTGGAATAATGTTAAAAGCGGCGTTAAACCCAACTCACTCACTCACTCACTCACTCACTCTGTCACAGACTGTCAACCAAAAAGAACAGGTCTTTGAAGTTAAGTCCTGCCTTGCAAGGTCAGAGCATTCACTGGAACTGCAAAACTGTGGCTGGGATCTGACTCAAGTCAGAAAAGTGTCTTGTCATCTAGCTTCTCCAAGGGAAATACTTTTTGCATCTATTTAAACAAACTTGATCCATCAACACTTAATAAGCAAGGGTAAACGACATTTTGATTTTGAGCATTATCAAGGAAAGGGTCTTTGTTTGGAACGAACCCGTGAAGATCCGGGTTAGAATTGGTCTTCAGCAACCCATGCCTGCCGTAAAAGGCGACTATTCTTGTCGTAAGAGGCGACTAACGGGGTCAGGCTCGCTGACTTGGATGATGCATGTCATCGTATCCCAATTGCGTAGATCGATGCTCATGAAATGGAGGGAGGAGGGGGAATAGTGGGGAGTACAAATACTGCAATGGATGTATTCTACCGCTTCCCGACAATCCTGCTGTTTTACGAGAGTAGGTCTTCAGAAACCCATGCTTGCCGTAAAAGGCGATTATGCTTGTGGTAAGAGGCGACTATCGGGATGCTCATGAGTGCGGCGTTAAACAATACACAAAACAAAAAATCAACAAAAAGCAAAACGAGAGAGTGTTTCAAATACTGCATGCTGGGCTGCCATGGTAATGGGCCCCTTTCCGAAAAATGATTTTAGCGCTGTGACCATCGTTAATCTTGGTTAAGAGTGTTTAGTGGAGCGAGCCCATCTGGACCTATTTCTGCATTCTATACCATGAGCATAAATCATGCTTTCTCTGTTTCATATATCCTCTGGCTTTCCTCTGTGATGCTCTGGTGTTAGACTCGATGTAATTACTGGTGACACATTTCACTTTGTGCTCTAAAATGCACCCTGTTTCTGGTAGCTTCAATTACTCTTCTGTTGTTTCCTCGCCTGCTGGACATGATGCTAGAGGTCTTCAAGAATCAAAACGCGACAATGCGAATTTAGCAACTGAAATGAAAATATCGGTGATTGTGTCGGAACAATGAGAGATGGAACTTAGATTCATCTTGGGGAAACAATTGTCAATTGTCAACGAAATGCACAATTATCACCTTGCCTCCTTGACATCAAATGGACAATGAAAGATAAACCCCGAGTGTCTTTTTTTTCTTTTAAGGAAGCAACTAAGCTATACCGAAAGGCTGGGTGACCTGTAGCCGTTGTATAGTATAGCTGTAGGTTTCAATTCCAGCACACGACACCAGTGTTATAACCACCAATGATGAAGTGACGAAAAACTCTACTCTAAATATAGTACAATAATGTAAGTCTTGTTTGGGGGACTGAGCAGCTCAAAGAAAGAGGGGGACACCGCTGGCCCAGTCGTCTTAGGTGCCGCGATTCGCTGTGCAGAGTTGCGTCCCTTTGGCGCGCCAGAAACCTATGATTGTGGGTTCGAATCCCGGTTCGCCCGATTATGTATCTAGGTTTGTCAGCACCATACCCGTGCTCGTGGGTTTCACCGAAGTGGTAAACGTCTGAGACCTGCATCACTTCGGGCTTTCCTCCCACATTAAGCTGACACGCCGCGATATAACTGGAATACTGTTAAAGCGGCGTTAAACCCAACTCACTCACTCACTCAAAGAAAGAGCGCTGATGTCTGCCTTCAAAAAACGCTCTTTCAACTGGTCAGGTGCCGATTGTGACCTACGAGGAGGTATTCCTTGAAGCATCAACATCAACTTACTTCAAGGGAGTCGTAAGCAAAGTGATCTCGCCTGCATAATGGCAATGAATAAATACAAACAGAGCAAACCGTTCATGGTGTGTAGTAAGAGCAGGCTGAACTGTCGACTATTTTTACAGTGCATTTCAATTTAGGGAATAAGGAGGAAGCTACGGTGAAATACAGATTATCTGTTACGAGTGATATAAGTCTCGAACCCTCAACGAGTACAGTTAAATGAGGGAGGGACAGGACCCGTGGGGATTCCGGGCAAGAATAAAGGCCCCCAGCAACCCATGCGTGTCGTTTGATGCGACTAAGTGGATCTGGCAGCCAGGCTTGGTGATTCCATGTCATTGTATCCCATTTGAGTGATCGATGCTCATAGTGTCAATCACTTGATATTTTACAAACCGCCGTAATATACTAGTAGCTGGAATGTTGATGAGTGCGTCATCAAACAACATACAAACAAAAACAACATGGGGGACAGAAAACCCCTAATACTGATATCCGAGTATGAACAATAGATGGCGCCATTTATCATTCCAAGAACCATGTCAGTGTGACACGACATGACAACCTAAACCTGTATGGACTTGATTTATATTTGACTGGGAAAGTCTGATTACTTTGTGTAAGATAATAATCTTTAAGCAGCAAGCTATACCAGATGACCTACCAGCTAAACGTGACATTCATCCCTTGTTACTCGTTGAGGACTGGATCAAGATGACATTTTCAACAAAGAAGAGTGTACACAGTACATCATTAGTATAGGTTAAGGTGCTGTATTTGGCTTGCAGTTACGTCCCTTAGGCGTGACAGAGAACTTTGACCGTGGGTTCGAATCCCAGATTCGCCCTGCTTATGTTTCTTGGTTAACCAACACCATACCCGTGATTGTGTTTTCTGCACCAGAGTGGGAACCGTCTAAGACCTCCATCACTTCGGACTTTCCTTCCACATGGAACTGACACTCCGTGATGTGACTGAATAATACGGTTCAAAGCGGCGTTAAACCACCCTCACTTACAGTTCCTCGAGAAGAAGTATTCTCTTTTTCTTGGGAAATTTGTTGTTTGTTTTAATAGACATTCAAGAGATATGTTTTAGAAATTCAAATTCAAATAGGTTAAATAGCTGGCTATTTTAGGAATGTTACATATGTACCACAGTTAGATTAGGAAAGCAAATTTTATACCTCATGTAAAACTCGTTACAACGCGTTAAACTACGTTGGTATGTTTTGACGAGTGTTTCTTGTGTACACTGTTTGAAGACAGTAATAATAATAATTATAGGCTATCTATACTACTCAAAAGAAGTTAAAGAACACCCAAATAAGTTATCAAAATCACTCAAAAAATAAATCGTGGCCACAGGAACAACACTGATTGGGAAAGATAAGTATTTAATCATGACATTTCATTGACGAAAGAAACGCTGGCATACAGCTGACCAGAGCAAATCAATATGCATTGCATGTACCCTATAAATCAAAAGTCACACACTACAGTTCAGGATAATCCTGTTCCTTCAATATCGGGTAGGCCCACCCCTGGAAGCAATACAGTTCTGACATCTTCTACGCATAGATCGAACAAGCTGCCGCAGTGTTG